ATATAGGCACTATTTTTACGTTTTCTTCTGGTGTCTCTGTCGTGTCGAGGTTGGAGAAACGACCCCACAAGCGTTTTGCTTATAGGCATGCCCTTGAACCCGATTACTCGGCCTACGGTGTTCATTTTCTCTGAGCTCGGGTTTGCAGTCTCTTTTACGGTTTGTCATCTTTTGATCGGTTTCTTCGCGGTGACTCTCGGAGAAGAAACGCCGATATTTGTGCCTTTAACGTTGCAGAGGGCGGTAGGCGGATACAGTAATGGATCTCTGGATGGAAACCCGATGGCCACAAGTGAAAAGATAACATATATCGGGCTTATATCTGCCCATATTATCGAGAGATAAACCCTGTCGGGCCCGTTTACTTATACCTGGGCATAAGGAATAGAGTGGGGTCTTCGACAGTCACCTTTTATTAATATAAAGTAACGGTGTTCACAGCCTGTCACCGGTGCATGACTTAACGATTCATTGAGTTGGGAGCAATCCGAGCGTATTTGGGATGAGGTGGTAGAAGATTTTCGCCCTTTTGTCTCGTTGATGACGCTAGAGAGCCAAGAGGACAAATTTTTAGGTTTATTTGTTGGCACGTTTCACCAGGTTTTATATTTGTGAATTATGGTAACACTTACTACCGCTTGTGGAAGTTTTTTCGATTAGCTGTATTTTGATTCTTACAATAGTAACAAGGATGACTGATTTGGATGTCACTTTATACCCGTACCCTCACTCTTCTGTGGTAACTCAGTATTGAGCGGTAGGCATGGTGTCTGGTTGGGATCACGCCCCGTTTCGTTCAGAATAACTTCTTCATTAAAATGTTTACAAAACTACTGGACTGCAAGTTCCTAGAAGCATTGTTCTTTCTCTTTAACGATTGCTAAATCCGGGGTTGTTTTCCCTTCGAAAAGTTTTGTCGCGCTTAAACTGGGTGGAGTGGTCTCGAATACAGTTATTTATTCTGAGAGGACAGCTTTGTACAAGGTTTTAAAGGTCTCACTAATCTACGCTCTTTTGTTAGTACTTCCGCACGCATTTTTTTCTCTGCTTTCCGGACCAAATATTTATATTAGAAATGGTTTGGGTTGTGTCAAGGCGCGGATATTGAATTCCTAGGTTAGGAGTGGCGGTGACATTAGCGAATGCCCTAGAAAGCTATCAAGTTCGGCTCTTAGATCGCTGGGACAAGGTGGCTCGTTAGGAGCCTGTGAGACCATAGATGCACGTTACGCAGCTGTCTCCTTTTCGTGGTCGAGTCGTCCTTCGGTTCCAAACCACGTCTGGTGTAATTTTTCTGCTGAGATGAGCACATATAGACGAGCTCATACACGTATAATGCTTAGGTGTTGGATTCTTCACCCAACCCTCTGTCTGCTTTGGCAACCGCATTACACCATCCGTGGTTCTGGCCTTCTCCTTTATTGGGCTTAGTTTGTTTCATTTTAGCCTCGAAGAAAGAGCGAGGCTGTTACAACCCCTGCGAGGGCTTTTGTTGAGTGGGTTTATCGCAGATTACACGGGTGGCATGAGTTATCAGCTGATGCCTGGTTTTACCCCGTGATTGCATGACCTCTGCACGTTTCGCAACGAATGAACCACCGGGTGGACATACCCCTTTTTTACCCTTTTTAAACAATCAAAATTAAACCGATGAAAATGTTTGTAGTGCGTATGTCTAGATTTTGTATTGCTATCAGTATATGTGATTGCTTGCTCCAGACTCGATGATTATGATATTTCCTGCTGCCTGTGGTGTGGCATTGGACGTTAGAAGGCATCCTGAGGTATTTTTAAGAGACCCAAGGTTTGTTACCCGGTGGGTCCACGATTTTAAGGAATGGTAAACAAAACTCGGGTCCGCCGGAACATTCCGTTCAGCAATCGTGTTTTCCTTGCACACTTGTGTCCCATTCACCGGGTCGTGCAATGGTAACCAAAGGTGGGTTGAAGTCATGAAGCACGAGTTTTGGTCGGAACATCCCCACCAGGGAAACTGCTCTGCTTTTCGACGATCTTTTGCTCCCGCAGATTTTCACTTAATGGGAACGTCGGGTGTTACTAAATCACTAAGTCGCCCATACACTGGTCGTGGTCAGTATAAGACAGCTTTTGAGCTCAGTTTTTATTTCTAGGCTTAAATATATAGTCTGTTTAAGTGGCGTAATAGTACACGAGAGTAAGGATTTCAATCGTTTTGACTGTGTTTCAGAAAGCAGGGGCACCCAACGTCAATTTTTGGAAAATATCTGTTCGGAAGATGATTTGAGATCTAGAACTACACTTCGGAACATTTTTTGTAAAATTTCTTGCTTGTCTGCCTATCCTAGGATTTTCGAACATCTAAAAAACGGTTAGTCTGTTACACAGCCGTTTTTAGCGTCGTTACGCAGGGGAGGGGCGTTGGGTGACGACACTAAAAGCGGCTGTGTAGCAGACTAAAAAAATGGTATAATAGCCTATTTCTAACGGATTTTTACCTTAAAAAGGTCACCTAGAATCTTCGGGAGCCTTTTTTCAGGCTGAATTTTTCGAAAAGGTAAGCTTTTATCCCTATAATTTTCGGATCACGAGACTTTCAGCTAGGATATCCGAACAGATGAAAAATTTGTGGGGGATAAAAATATGCCTATATAAACCGTTTAAATACTAAAATACGTTCAACAATGCTATGCTTAAGTGGTTTTAAACTATATTCTCGTTGGGTACCCTCAGAAAGAGTCATAATCTTTAATATGCATTTTGTGGAAGCCTTTTGTTTTGTTCAGGTGTGCAACCCCCTTTTCGCCTAAGACTGAAGATTTTGTTGAAATCGTATAGTTTTATAGGAAGTGAGCCATATCCTCTTCCTTCGCCGAGCGATTTAAGAGCTCAAGCTGGCTTACTCAATTTTTGGAAACTGGAAGGGTAAAGTAGACGCGTTCAGATCGTCTTAACCCTCACCCAAGCCCTCATTAATCAGCCACAACGATGAGAACAAACAGTTGCGAGAGCCATCCTTTCGGGTTTTAAGGGTTTGCCTTCGTGAATAGTTATCACTCGTCAACTCAGTTTCATTTCTCGTCACAGAAGGTGTCCAGTGGCGGATCCAGGGGAGGGGCCCGGGGGGCCCGGGCCCCCCCTTATTTCTCAACCAAAATGAGACCCGAAGAGCCGAAAATTTTTTTGGGGGAGACCGCCCCCCTTATCTCAGGGTCTGGATGACCGCCCCCTCCCCCCCTTTATCTGAAGATCTGGATCCGCCACTGGTATCGACCCTTTCCGGGCACTCTCAGCTTATTCGCTGGTGTTGGAGTGGACGTTTTTGGTCGACTCAGGCAACCCACACAGGTTGCTTCCTAAAGGGCTTACATTTGACTGTAACATCATATGTACCTGTGATATTACACTATAGCCAGAAACACCTTGCTGCCCTCTATTGTAGTGGAGATCTGCATTGAGTTTGTTCGAGGTTATCCTGGCCCCTTTTGGTCAAAGGTAAATCAAGCACAAAGTTTCCATCTACTCTAGTCCCGTACGAGCCTAGGCTAACCGGGGAGCCACTCTTGCGCGGTTTAGAAACTAGAAATGTAATTTCTCCCGCAATGCTAGGGCAAAGTTAACATGGATCACATGGTTTCGTAAAATTAATGCTAATACGTATAATACCGTGTAACAGGAGTAAAAGGGGGTTGACTGGCCCGTATGACTCCCAGTACCTGGCTAGTGTTTTAGCCTTTTCTTAGTTTGGCTTCCATGGCGGTATGTCTTTGAGCGACTGTCCTCCTTTTTATGAATATGAGGGGCGGACTCTTGCAGTTTTCACTCAGTAATGGTTGTTGTTATATTCAATGCTAGTTTCTCACGAGATTTTGCCTTAGGTTAGGTACTTGGTGTGATGGTATTGTGTGACTCACAAAAGGCAAAATTCGTAGGTTTCTCTTTTATGTCGAAGGGCTAGTTTTCTGTCTCAAAAATGTATTTCGGAGAGGGTCGTATTTGGTAGATCCCGTGTAACATAACCTCTCACTAGCAAATGTGAGTTTCACGACTCGTACGAGTTCTACCACGTGTCGATGCGTGTTCTCCAATCGCACGTGCAAGTGAGATGCAGTTTAACTATATGTGATACCACAAGTTATCACACGGAAATGTCACCCATTCACCAATAGTACCAATCGCATGAATTGAAAGGCTGATATCTCACCACTTTACCATTCATACAACTTGAAACACACAGAAACACACACACCAGGAATTTCACGACTTGAACAAGTGGTGAGTATTGGAGAACCCTCATCGACTTGTGGAGATTTAAGACTTTGTTGTACGGGTTTGGGAATTAGTTAGGGTTAGGAGGTTTCAATTTAATTAAGGATTGGGAAGGATAAGAGTTCATCATGGTGTTTATGTTAGGATTATGTAGGGGACTCTACTAGACCCACCACAGATCCCAAAATAGTTAATACAGCCAGCAGAAATATGAAACAATAGTATATTTACTACTTTCATTAAAACCCCTGTTTGACTATAGGCCTCTCACCTTTAACTAGCCTCCCACAAGGACAGTGCCCGTGCTTGGCTAGTCTGCGTACGTAGCTCATGATTTTTTTTCTTTTAATGGTTGGTTAAGTTAAAGAGATACAGCCGTGCGAAAGCTGTACCAATCAGGTTGAACCAGAAAATGATGAGGGAGTGAATGAAGGGAGAAAGCAGTAGGAAAAATTGCCTGCATTATACCCATGAGATGTTTGAAACTCTGTTGCCAGCAGATGGAACAATCAGCATTTCCTGATTGGCTGACAGAATGTCAACCTGTCCGCAGATGTCAGATTTCCAGTGGAGAGAAAGGAATACCATCGGTTGTTTTGTGTTTTGTGGTATTTTAAAGTATCTGACATGTGCTGTGTTCGCTCAACAAATATTCATGGCAAGTTACGTATTTTAGACGTTGAAAAGCTCCGCAGTGCTATAAAACTCCAGGGAATAATAATTTACTGTAACAGTCTTTTTAATTAATTTTAGAGACATCACCTGATCCAAGAAATGAAGTGGTTACAGAAATACAGCTCTCTGACATCAGTGATGATGTAGGGACTTGCTGGCGTGAAGTTGGCCCAAAGTTACTCATCTCAGCATCAAAGATTCATAATCTTGATGATGAGTACAAGAGTAATCGAGACAAGGCAAATGCTCTTCTAATCTTGTGGAAAGAACAGGAGGGAAGTAATGCTACAGTTGGCCATCTAGCTGATGTTTTGGAGAAGATAGGAAGAAGGAGCATTGCTGAAAGACTGCTTGGTGGGTGAATGAAGTAGTAATATGTAGTAATGTGGAAAGAACACATGATTCTTGTCAGTATTAAGGGCTGTGCTCAGGGCCGGTGGCCTGTGGCACCCAACTTTTGCTTGTGATGAGAAAATGTTAGGTTTTTCATTCAAATAATCCTTAGGGCACAGCCTTGGTATTAACCAGTGTGTGGGGGGTGGGGGGAAGGGGGTTCTCTCACGGGGAGACTTTGCCTAAAAGGGGTACCTTTTTCAGGCTTTACGTTATGAAAGGGCAGGATTTCTCTAAGTTGAGGTTAACGAAATAGTAGGGGAACCTGTCATTGCAGTCTGTGAAAGGACCCAAAAAATGTAAAGCCCCGTACAAACGGATGCAACATTGTTAGATGTTACATGTTGCGTCCTTTTGCACACCCTGTTGCATGTTGTTGGATGTTGTTGCGTGTTGTTGCGCAAAGTTTGAAACCTGTCAAACTTTTCAGCCAACAACTCCCAACATTTCTTTTGTTCTGTGATCGCACGAAGCGTAGCGCAACAATGTTGGATCCATTTGTACAGTTCTTCCAACATTGTAGGGGCCACGCACACTCATTAGGCATGGATCACAAAGACCTATGGGCTGTGTTCTTCCCACGATGCACTGCGGGTCCCAAACTTGTTGCGAGTTGTTGCATCCGTTTGCACATCACTGCCAACACGCACGCAACAACTCCCAACATTGTTGGCGCAACAATGTTTGGAGTTGTTGCGCCCGTTTGCAAGCAGCCTAAGAGGCATATTTTATGGCTGAGTGGAAAAAATGAGAAAAGTTTCTGGTTTAGCGATTTACTCATATCTAATAGACAGACAGTGAATTTATAGCTGTTAAAAGGGATGCAGTGTGAAAATGGTGCTGTACCTTGTTGAAGATGTTAACGCAGCTGTTACTGTAATGTGGTACTTTAAACTCTGTAAGATTGCTGAGATCCGGAAATTTTGCTACCATGGCACGTGAGTCGACTTCCGCTATTGCGGACACCCTCGGAACTGCGGTTTAGTGTCTGTAATAGCGAGAGTCCGTAAGTAACGGGGTGTGAGAAAAAAATTCTTGATATTAGAGGAATTACATTTTTATTTATATTGTACATTTTCTCTAGAACCAATTACGGTGCAGTTTTCGCATATAAAGATCGGAGCGTCAGAAAAAAATACAAACAAGACAAATCGTAACAGAACAAAACTTGCATCTCCCTTTCATGCATCCACCACAACAGTACTGTCGCTGAAAAAATCTTTACACAAAAACCATAAAGTTTGGTTCTAGAAAATCCATTTTAAGTACGTTAACCCTATTCAGACTGGGCTTATTTGGTCAATCTGTGACTGGGGGGGGGGGGGCTCCTCGGTTCCCCCCTCTGTGTCTCTGGAACCAATAATGCTAGGGTCATGAAATTTACACACAATGATCATCTCCGTACAAAGAAGCCCCACACCCAGTTTTGACTTGCCACGCCCAATGATGACGTCACAGTGACGTCATATTCCGATTTTTCAATGTTTCTTATTATTTTTCCACTTAGATACGTAAAATATCAATAATATTGGTAAAGTCATCTCTTTGTTATCCTTTCTTATGAACTAGTAACAAGGAAACACTTGTACAGCGAGAAAAAGCAATAGGAAGCAATAAAATTCAAAATTTGAAATGGTTGTCCGCCATCTTGGATCCGCCTTCTTGGATTTCCGTTTTTTTGTTAAAATTATAATTTAAAGCAACTTTCAAAGGGGAAAAAGCTCAGAATGTATAAAAGAAGTATCAAACTAATGTTTATTACCCAAACAAATGACTTTGGAAGTGTTATTTGGAAAATAGAGCAGCATATTTGTCAAAGCAAAAAAGTGACAAATTTTACCCCACCCCTCCCCCCCAAATATTCGATGTTGAAACATTTTGATGTAATTCAAAAACTAGTCCCAAGCAAAGACCATTTTAACAACAAAAAGCACTATAAGTGTAAAAACGCGATCTTAAAACAAAAAATTCACTATTTTTTAAATTTTCCAAAACCTATGTGTCAGAAACTGGTTGCCATGGCAACATGATTAATCACATGGACATGGTAATTATACCGAAATGTTCCTAGATAAATTTTAGGAAAAGTCAGAAAATTTGAACGTCATAGCTCTTTCGGTGTAGGAGTTATCACGATTTTGCCGGAGGGAGGGTTCGAAAAGCCCCCCCCAGTCTGAATAGGGTTAAGTACATCATGACTGGTTTTTGCAAGTAAGTACGGTAGTTTCATAGAAGGATCATGTTAAAAGGGAATCGGAATGTTTACTTTTTAACCAAATTAGTGACAGACACGAAGAGAGGAAGAGGAAGAAATAAATTATAATCTGAGATAATTCTGCCAAAATATGGCAAGAACAATACAATTGTGATGTCGGTACCAAGAGAGGTGTCCGTAAGTCTGTAATAGCGGGAGTTTGTTTCAGTCAAAATGTCTGTAATTTTTCACCAGCGATTCAGCAGCTGTCCATATTACCGGGGTGTCAGTAATAGCAAGGTGTCCACAAGGCAAGAGTTGACTGTAACATAACATTTACACTTAATTTGCATTTCCTTTTGATGGGGTATGAAGTTTGTCTGGATATAGGGGGTCCAGTCCTAGTTTTAGATAAATGTAATGTACACATGGGATTATGAAAGTTCATTCTTGAACTTCTTTTATTTTTAATTGCAATGTTTTGTTTGTTCTTTAGGAGAAGGTAAAGGTTTATTGCCAAGATGTGAAACAGTTTCGGATGATGAAGAGATCGGCTTAACAGTGAAGTGCAACTTCAAGACAGAATCGGATGGGAAGGTAATATGAAAAATTCGCTCCTGAACTGGCAGTGAAGATCTGTTTCCAATGTATGGCTTGTGACAGCGTTTGACTTAGTGGTCTTGTGTTGTGGTTCATGGGTTGGATTTTACAGGTTCATTCTATAGACGCCCAGTTTTGGAAGAAATACACGGAAAATTTTTCACTTAAGGGATCAGTTATTATTTATGTAGAGCGGGGCAGGGAAAAAAAGAAGAGGGGATCAAGGCTATTTTAGATTGGCTAGAGGGTAGGCTAAACTTTTTTATAAAGAAGTTTAAGAGGGGTCAGCAGTTTTATCGCCAAGTATATTTTAAGAAGGGTCAATTGGCCAAGATGGGTAAAGTAGTTATATTGTAGAGTACAAATAATTGTGAAACAGTAATGCTAAATTGTACAATTTTTCGCTAATCCTATTGCTGTTTGTTTAAGCTCCACTATTTTGTACAACTTAGTCATTTGTATTTCACAGAAATTCTGTTTGCACTCTAAACTTCGTTCTTTTAAATTTTGAGCTAATAAAGAATCCATGATCTGCTTTAATATTTGTTTTGACTGAATTTTGTTTTAACAAAATTCTTATCACTTTAATAGCCCAAGAAAAACATGATAAACAACAAGAAAGTAGTCCTTTTAGAACTGCAGGAAAATCATTTGAAAAGAATTATATTTTGCGTGGGTATTACACCCTTGCATCAGGAGTGCGGTCAAAAGCATGGCAAGCCCGGCCAGGCCAGGCTTGCCAAGGTCTTGGCCAGGAAAGCGTGGCCTGGAAAAGCCTGGTAAACCCGATCAAGGCCAGGGTTTTGAGGTAAGCCTGGCCATAGAAGCGTGGCTTTTCCGGCCACACTAAAAAATAGACCGGCATTTCATGGCTTTTCCGGCCCAAAAACCAGAAGCCGGGAAAGCCAAGAATTCATGACCATGTTCTACAAGTAACAGCAATAAGAACGTAAAGAAACAATTTTTTTACAAATTATATTTCTACCTATTTATTATTATGACAATTAGAAATATATTTTTTTTACAGGATCAATACCAAAAGTTCTTAGGTAAAGAGAAAATATAGAGTTTTAAGAAATTTAAGTGCAGGAAAGGGAAATATATAGATCATAAGGCTACAACAAGTCCACTACTCTCTTTCCACAAAGTTTGGCACTCTAGTAAAACACAAATCTTGCTTGTTTCCACTCAGATAAAAAAACTTTTTCTTCAATAGCAGCAACATTAAATTATGTATATGTAGATGTATGAAGTAATATAAAGTTAATTTTCAATATTTGATGACAAAGCCATTCTGCAAAACTTATATAAAAAAACCATACCGAAATATATACAAGTACCTCCGCTCCTATTCTGAATTGTCTGTATGGTTCTTTTTCAACCGCATGGGTCATTTATTTAACTGCGAGGATCATTTCTACTTTTATATCTATATCCACATTTCCCAAAAAAAAAATTTCATGTAAGCTCAATTATTTCCATTCGTGTCTTTCCCACCATTGAGTACGCTAGCTTTCAATGGCCTGCTTTCCAGTTGGCTTGATTATTTGACAAGTTTAATGGTTTAATAAACGATTGCATCCGATCAATCGCATAGGTCAGGATTCGATTCCCGATCAAGCCTTAATTTTTTCAGGTACTTGTTCAACCACTAATATAATGTCCATTTAACTACAAGGATGATTTCCATTTTTATAACTGTTTCTTACTGTAATGTGTTCCTCGGATTTACCGTTCCTCGTAGGTCGAAAGTCCACTTGAACATGCGAAGAGTTCCTTGCTTGCATGCTTTTTAGGCTTCCTTTTAGTACAGTTCGTTCAACTAAAGAATGATCCCTTGAGGCAATAAAATGGCGTTGTCTTGGTGTGATCAAGATGTCTTTGGTTAGATCAGATTTCCATACACTAACCTGTGAGCTTTGTCCAGCATGAATAACGGCCACAACACGTTTTTCGTCGCAGTTCTTTGATTGATAGGGTTGTCCAACATTTTCTTTCCCAACTTAAAAGAACAACGTTAAGTTTACCTCTTGCTTTTAACACTTCAAATGGGTTGGTTCATCTTAATTAACGCTGAAAATAACTGCTATTTTCGACCCAAACGGGAGCGCATCGCAAGATTAGCGGCCATGTTTTCTTGTTTCCCAGGCTTCCACGCGTGCCTTTGGCACATGCGTGATTTGATTTACTTTGTCACGTGCGGCTTTTGAACCAATAAAAAAGTGTGAAATGAACTTTCGTTGAATAGTTCAAATTCACGTGGACTTCACAAGCAACAAAGTATTTTCGTAAGGCTGTCTTTCTATTATCCATGTTGTTTTCGAGACAAAGTGATCAATTGCGAAGTTTGTTTTCACATAAAGCATGTTTGCAAGTGAGTTAACTTACTCAGCTGGATTAATGTGGAAAGGTATGTTTTCTAATAACTTTGCGTAAATAAGCTTAATATATAGATTTAGCCAGGGCTAAAAGGGAAGCTCCCATTGATAGATTTATAATTTAAATCAAACAATAAACTTGTATTCCAAAATTCAGATAACTTTACAGCACATTCATGTGACTTTTGAACGAAAGGCTAAGTGATTTTAGAGAAAAATATTTCGCAAAGAACCGCCAAGAGTGAACCAAATCTTACATCAAGTTTACAGCCTCATATGTACAGTATGTGTTCCTTGGTCCGCGGGAGTCCGCGATGCCCTTGGTCCGCGTCTTTTCCGAAAATGATAAAATACTTCGTCGAGAAAAAAATATGTTGAATAATGAAAGATATTGTGATTTACTGATTAGCATTCTTTCATATGGCGAAGTTTCAGCTTTCTTGCTGCGGGTGAAGACGCGAAATTTAAGTTTGTTGACTGGTAGGTTAATTTATCTTTCTTGAAGTTTGGATTTTTGCGGTACCGTAAAGAACATGGTCATGTTTACTTAGCCTGCGAATAACTAACACGCAACGGGAAGACTTGCCTTTTTGCAGAACAGGTTTTCAGATCAACTTATTTCTGCTTTTGGAAGCATATTGTTGCTGTCGACTCTGAATTTTTTGTTTTAGTGACTCTTGAAAAACATCACTAAATTTCGCTTAGCGGTCCTTGGTCCGCGACCTATGACCTTGGTTGAATAAAACTTCCCAAAGTAAAAAGCGACGGCCTTTGTTTTCGAAGAATGTTTTGAAAATCGTCCCTATACATGTCTACAAGTTCTCTTTTTTTAATACCTCGAATACATACAGAGTTTTTGGTAATTATTTTCGACCGCGCTAAAAACGGCTCGTCGACGCTCGTGTGGGAGACTCGAGGATACTGTTGTCTGAAGTCTTTGAAAGAAACGCAGATTATTTTATGCTCACAACATTTTCCGAAAAAAACTTTAGCTTAATTGCACCAAGAAAAGAAAAAAAGATACAAGAAATACTGTGAAAATCACGTTTTCGTGTGGAAACTATAACATTTTTACGTCTTTATCGTACTGCTTACCTGAGACGCGGACCAAGGACCAGATTCGTGGACCAAGGACCATCGAAAACGGTCGCCTTTTTGCGAATTCCAAGCAAAATATTTAGGTCTGGAACTTGAAACTTCAGGATTATCGACAGGAACATAAAAGCTATCTTCAGGGAGTATTTCAGCTCGTTACGTGAAGACTCGGGTAAGATATTCAAGTTAATGACTTTTACACGCGGACCAAGGACCACATACTGTACACCCAAAAAATAGCAACCTTCTTCGATCACACTTAAGAGCCATAATGGGCAGGCTCTTGATCACCGTAGATTAATTAGGCCTGAAAAAAAAATCAGGCCGAATTCTTTGCGTTCGACAAGTTTACTTTACAAAATCTTGCCAACAAATCTGGGTGAGTGAAAACCAACCTTTTTACCATTTGTACATCACATCTGAGGTGAAACAGTACTATGAGGCATTGTTTTTATCATTTTTATCAATTTTGCAATACAAATAACACTCATTCAATATTCAGGACGATGGAAGCACGCGTGGGCTTTTAGCTAAACCGTTAAAATAATTTCCAAAATCACCTATACGGCCAGCCGGTTCTCACTTTTGCAGCTCATGAGCTGTAGTCGACTGTTTGAATGAACATTGATAGAGTTTCGCTCCAACACAATAAAGAATCTATTATGTTTATTTTCTTGTTTATTTTATCGATGTGTAATCTTCAAAAGCGTTTGATACGCGTGGCAGTTTGAGTACTCGTGAAAGCGATGTTGACACTGAACGACTGAAAACAAACGGCACAGCGATTAAAATTACAATAGAGACTACTAACAATCAATAAAAAAAAATATTACTCGGTGAAACATATAAAGAGACAACAATTTTCATTCACGAAGACAAGTATTAAAGTGTCTCAAAGAATCCTGAGTCTTCAAGCTTAAGCTTAAAAGCCGGCTTCCCGGTGTTTGCCATTTTCAAAGATGAACTCGAGGAAAGAAAAATCGCCCAAAGCTTTCTTTTACAGCTAGGATTATAACTAAATATTCTTTGAAACGTTTTCTTTCTATTTGCGGTGAGAAAATGTCTAAAGACTTTTTAAAGTTCTGTAAGCTTATATCAAACCTGATGCTCGGTCAGATCATTGTCTCAAATCTTACAAACGTGCATAACTAAATAGCCGCATAAACTACGCTTGACTTCATTAAATTAGATGTAAAAAACAAGCATCAAATACAATAATTACTCAGGCTTACCATTCGAGATGCAGCTCCTGAAAGGTATCAAGTAAGGCCAGTATCGCCTCAGAGTTTTCAAGCAAGGTGAAAAACGACAACGATGCCATCCGAAATCGGATTTCCGACTTTGACAAGCGACGCATCTCTCAACCAAAAAGCCAATAAACAAACTAGCCACGAATAACAGAATACTCTTGATAGCTGCTGTATTTCATTTTTGTACATCCAGTAGAAAAAGAAAGTTAAAAAAAATCACAAATTGTCACAAAACTCTGTCAGCTTCAGCCACAAAGTAAACAGGATTCAAGATGCTGCATAAATTTTCTGCATTAACTCACCTGTCAAATTTTGACCAATCAGAGCATAAAAATTGGACGTAAAGCGTGACCAAAGCGTGACCTTGGCAAGAAAAGGTCTTCCCCGCCTGTATTTCTAAATAACTGGCTGAATTTTCGTGTCCAAGGTTAGTTTGAAATCAAAATCTTAATAGTGCGGGGCCATAGTGACATAAACACAACATATTTCATATGACTTTTTAAAAAAATAACTTTAGCCTGCGATCATTTGAAAACTAGTAACTTGTTTTGACAGATGTCAATTGATCCATGGATATTATCCATGATTGATCACAACGTTGATGAGCATTCAGTTTTCTCCTGGGCTCCCAAAGTGGTTAGAAAGTGTGAAAGTAAGCATTGGTTTCCTGTGGTGCGGACGGATGGTTAAAAGCAACTGTCTTCCTTGCATAGCTGGCTGAATTTTCGCATCCGAGGTCAGTTTGAAATCAAAATTTTAATTGTGCGGCACATAAACACAACATATTTCATATGAATTTTACAAAAAATTATACTTGAGCCTGCGATCGCTGGAAAACTAGTAACTTGTCAGCGGATAACTTTAAAAAATACTGACCTTGATGGTTCAACACCTGAACCCGCGATAAGGTCAAGTGATACAAGTCAGCGGACACCCTGTTTCGACAGCTGTCAATTAATCACAACGTTGATGTCCAAAATGTGTGCATTATCAGTTTTCCTGTGCTCCCAAACTAGCTGGAAAGTATGAGATTGAACATTGGTACCCTGTGGTGCGGACGGACGGGCGGTGTACGGTCACATGATTACCAAATTTTCTGGGATGGGTACATTTTCTTAGTTATGGGGCTCCGCCCACGCGCGCGCTTCGTGCGCGCGTAGAGCTCCGCTATAAAGTTCAAGGATGCATGCAAAGATATGCCATTGATCAGATCCCTTTTTACTGCAGATCGAAATAACTGTACTCTTTGTTGCAAATAGTCAATGGAATACTCTGAAAACTGTATGTTCCGGCGCTACAAGGTTATAGCAGACTTGTCAAGACCAATATTAGATAATAGGAGAAGAAATAGCATAATATTAAATAAGTAAAGTTTCCAATGGCTACTAGACAGGTTAGAAGCAATAAAGTTTCCAGTTAATTTATAAGGACTTGAGACCTGAACTTACATAGTAAATATTAGAATACAGGCTGTTGGTTTGTTTATTTGAACTTTAATTCATAGTAGGGGAGCTCTGGAAAACGAAGTGCGCGAGCGGAGCACCATGGGTAAGAAAATTTGGTAAACCATCCATCCGAGAAAATTTGGTTATGACGTAGCGTACGCCCGTACACTCTTTGCTGGGGAGGGAAGGGAATTAGGTGTCAGCCCGTCCTGGGAAGGAGTATGCCGTGATGTTATAAATCGCGCGATGCATTTGTGCAACCCGCTTTTTTCTTGGCGGAAGATCGCGCAAGAAATGGCGTGGCTGTCGTCGCGTTCAAATCATGTTTACTTCAACTACTTCATTGCATAAGGTTTTGTGACCTAGTGCTCAGTTTCTAGTAAACTGTTTCGAAAAAATTGTTATGGCAACAAACAATAGCGGATTGAATTCAAACTATTTGCTTGTAAGAAGAACGATGGGAAAGAGAAAGAAGAGAAAGGCATAGAGTAAGAATTAACAGGCCCGCTAGCGAAGAGGATGTAAGTGGAAAATTTATGCAGCATCTGCGACTTGTTCACCGATAACTGAAGCTGACAGAGGTTTGAGTCATCTTGTGATGTTTTTACCTGTCTTTTTGCACTGGATCTACAAAATGAAATACAGCAGCTATCAACATTCTTTTGTTATTCTTGGCTGGCTTGTTTACTGGGCTGTGGTTGAGAAATGCGTCGCACGACAAAAAGAAATCGGGAATCATCGTTTTAAAAATAAGCTACTCTTAGTAAGCTTACTTCGCCTTGCTTGAGTATGCGAAAAGTCTTAAGCGATTCTGGTCTTACTTGATGGGTTCTCTTGCTGCATCTCGACCGGTAAGCTTGAGTAATTTTATTGCATTTTATGTGTTTTCTTTTTTCATGATTATGCCGTCATTTTACGCACATTTGTAAGATTTGAGACAGTTTATCTGACCTAGTAAAGAACTTGTAAAAGTCTTTAGACATTTTCTGACCGCGACTAGAAGAAAAAGTTCTGAAAAATAGCTAGTTGTTATCCTATTGTTTGTAAAAAGAAAGCTTTGAGCGATATTGTTTCCTGGAGTTCATCTTGCAAAATAGCAAACGCGGCGAAGGCGGCTTAAAACTTAAGGCTCAAATCTGCAAGGTTTTATTCGTGACTCACGATTTTCGGAGACACTTTACTCTCAAAACACCGTCTTCGGGAATAAAAATTGTTGACCTTTGAATGTTTCTTTGTATTATATTGTATGCCAGTATACATGGTATATATATTATATGCCAGTTGTTTTTGACTTTTCTCACCAAGGTCACGCTCTACGTCCAATTTATGCTCTGATTGGTCAAAACTTGACAGGTGAGTTCATGCGGAAAATTTATGCAGCATCTTGAAACTTTTTTACTTTGACAGCTGAAGCTGACAGAGTTTTGTGTCAACTTGTGATGTTTTTAACTGTCTTTCTCCACTGAATGTACAAAATGAAATTCAGCTGCTACCAAGAGTCTTCTGTTATTCATGGCTAGTTTGTTTATTGGGGTTTTGGTTGAGAAATACATCGCTTGTCAAAGTCGGAAATCCGATTTCGGATGGCATCATTTTCGTTTTTCACTTTGCTTGATGCGTAAGAGTGTTGAAAAGTCTGAAGCGATTCTGGCCTTACTTGATAGTTTTCAGTGCATCTCGAATGGTAAGCCTGAGTAATTATTTTATTTGATGTTTGTTTTTTTATATCTAATTTCATGAGCGTAGTTTAATTTATGTGGCTTATTTATGCACGTTTGTAAGATTTGAGACAATGATCTGACCGAATATCAGGTTTGATTATAAGCTTATAGAACTTTAAAAAGCATTCAGACATTTTCTCACTGCAAATAGAAAGAAAACGTTCCAAAGAATATTTATTTAAATAATTCTGGCTGTAAAAGAAAGCTTTGAGCGATTTTCTTGCCTAGAGTTCATCTTTGGAAAAAGCAAATACCGGGAAGCCCGGGCTTAAAACATAAACAAGGATTTTCAGAGACACGTTAATACTTGTCCTCGTAAATGAAAATTGTTGTCTCTGTACATTTTTCACCGAATTATTTTCCTTTTATTATTGTTTGTTAGTAGTCTCTTGCAAATTTTAATCGCTGTGCCGTTTGTTTTCAGTCGCTCATGAACATCGCTTGCAGGAGTAGTCAAAATGCTACGCGTATCAAATGCTTTTGAAGATTACACATCGTTATAAAACCATTGGATAAAAAAAAAACATAATAAATGCCATTATGTTGAAGCGTATAACTCTATTAATCTTAATTTAAACCGTCGACTTTGGCGCTTATTGAATGAGTGCAATTTGTATTGCAAAATTGTGAAATACTGCATTCTGTCAGAGGTCTGTATGATAAAAACAGCGCCTAATTGTACTGTTTCACCTCAGATGTGATGTACAAAAAGTATAAAAGGTTGGTTTACACGTCCCCAGACTTGTTGGCAAGATTTTGTAAAGTAAACTTGTCGAACGAAAAAAATTCGACCTGATTTGTTTTCCAAGAATTTGTTTTCCGGGCCTAATCTACTGTGATCAAGAGCCGTTATGGCTATTCTTTGGGTGTACATATAAGGCTATCAACGCGATATAAGATTAAGTTCACTCTTAGCTTGGACTGTTTGCAAATTATTTTTTCTCTAAAATCACTTAGCCTTTCCCTCAAAAGTCACATGAATGTGCTCTAAAGTTAACTGATTTGTGGAATACAAGTTTATTGTTTGATTTAAATTATAAATTCGAGTTAATAGGAGCTTCGCTTTTAGATCTGGCTAAATCTATATATTATAAGTTGCATAAGGTTATATGCTTCTGGTACATGTAATCTTAATACATCGCTACAATAGTACGGTCAAAAACAACTAGCACTAGCACTTGCCTGATGTCTGGACCTTCAGTTCAGTAGGCTGCATCGGCAACATTGGAAAAAGCAGTCATTTAGCAGTTTTTTTTTCATCTACACGCACTGTATTAATTATTCGAAGATGTTGATTACAATGTATGTGGAATGTGGTGATGTGTATGTTGAGTAAAATAAATTACGAAAAAGAGAATATTCAGCTGATGTTGTCATTTGGATAAAAAAAACAAACACTATCTAGAGATTCCACCAACAGGGTATGTTTTTATATTTTTTTTCAATCATGAATAGGTATAGGTTACTTTACATTATCTCACTATCTAGAGATTCCACCTGAACAGGTTATGCTTTCCTTTTTTTTTTTAATCATGACTATAGCTATAGTTTACTTTACACTACATGTATATCTATGTCTTGTCTAAACATGTAGGTAGCGATGTCACTAAGATTTCAAGTTGGCTGATAAATACAAGTAGGCAGGGAATCAAACAGCTCGGGATTTCTTTTTGGCTCTATTTTTCTTCCATTTTCTTTCCAATTTTTCTTCCACGTTCATAATAATAGCCAGGGGAACCCCCAGCTCTTGATGCTAGGTTTCATACATGTGGTTATTGCTCATACAGATCAGTTTCATGTGATTTTAAGGACAATTTCATGGTGTTAGTGTTGTTTCCTTTACCCCTATGAAAGTGGTGAGGGATTAATTTTCATGAGCCATTAAGATGAAAAGGGCATGAAAGGTCATGGTCAATGAAAATTTTCACTTCAAGTCATCAGTACTCCTTTTTATGACATAGTCTTCATATTCTGTATCATTCTGCTGAGAGAATTAATGCCTGCCAAATATAGCAAATGTATTAATTTTTTCCTTCAAAAAATCTGAAGTACAACCACAATTAACTAATATATAGATTTAGCCAGGGCTAAAAGCGAGGCTCCCATTATATATTTATGATTTAAATCAAACAATAAACTTGTATTCCACAATTCAGTTAACTTTAGAGCACATAGCACATTCACGTGACTTTTGAGGGAAAGGCTAAGTGATTTTAGAGAAAAATAATTTGCAAACAGCCCAAGAGTGAACAAAATCTTACATGGAGTTGATAACCTCATATGTACACCCAAAAAATAGCAATCATCTTCGATCACATCTAAGAGCCATAATGGCTCTTGATCACCGTAAGATTAATTAGGCCTGGAAAAAAAATCAGGTTGAATTTTTTTGCGTTCGACAAGTTTACTTTACAAAATCTTGCCAACAAATCTGGTTGCGTGTAAACCAACCTTTTCTACCATTTATACATCACATCTGAGGTGAAACAGTACTATGAGGAACTGTTTTTATCATACCGACCTCGGACAGAATTCAGTATTTCACAATTTTGCAACAGAAATTGCACTCATTCAATATTCAGGACGATGGAAGCACCCGTGGGCTTTTAGCTAAACCGTTAAAAAAATGTCCAAATTCACATATACAGCCAGCCGGTTCTCACTTTTGCAGTGCGAGCTGTAGCGAATGCTTGAACGAACATACTAGAGTTAAGCTCCAACATAATAAAGAAATTACTATGTTTATTTTTTATTTAATGGTTTTATCGATCTGTAATCTTTAAAAGCGTTTGATACGCGCGGCATTTTGAGTACTCCTGCAAGCGATGTTTATGAACGCCTGAAAACAAACGGCAAAGCGATGAAAATTACAAGAGAGACTACCAACAATCAATAAAGGAAATATAATTCGGCGAAACATATACAGAGACAACATTTTTCATTCACGAAGACAAATATTAAAGTGTCTCTAAAAATCCTGAGTCTTCAAGCTTAAAGCTTAAGTTTATGTTTTAAGCCGTCTTCCCGGTATTTACTTTTTTCACAGATGAACTCGAGGCAAGAAAATCGCTCAAAGCTTTCTTTTACTGCCAGAATTATAACTAAATGTTCTTTGGAACGTTTTCTTTCTATCTGCAGTGAGAAAATGTCTAAAGACTTTTTAAAGTTGTGTAAGCTTATATCAAGTTTACCTGATTCTTCAGATCAAATTGTCTCAAATCTTACAAACGTGCATAAACTACATAGCCGCATAAACTACGCTCGACTTCTTTAAACTAGATATAAAAAACAAACATCAAACACAATAATTACTGAGGCTTACCATTCGAGATGCAGCTCCTGAAGGGTATCAAGTAAGGCCAGTATCGCTTCAGAGTTTTCAACCTTTACGCATCAAGCAAGGTGAAAAACAAAAACGTTGACATCCGAAATCGGATTCCCGACTTTGACAAGTGATGTATTAATTTCTCAACCAAAAACCAACTAGCCATGAATAACAGAATAATATATGTTCATCGTGATAGAATGAAAATTAAATGTTATATTACTCATCTTGTTGAAAGGAAATAGTTATATTGTATGTATTAGAATTTTCCTGCTTTGAACATATAGGTACAGGGGTTTGAAGTTATAGGCAGCCTACTCTGGAAAAGTAAGTGGATGTGATAATATTAAGGGGCAGCAAGTTGTGATCTAACAATATCATAGTAAGCATAAACTATTATTGTTGGTCACTCTAAGGGGTTGAAGGGCTAGGATTACCTGTGTTTAACCAACTATGTTAGATTGCTGCATACTGTTTCTATGTACAAGTATCAACAACCTGTTTCTATGGAGAACTCTATGATCTGAGTGACTAGTAAATCCTTCTTTTGCATATCATACCATGTAAGTGCAACCTAAGTATTTAAGGAGGTGTACGGGAAATCAACACTTACGTTTTTCTTTCATTTTGTATCTACAAGAACTGTGACAAAAGTGTATAAAGACGCCAACCTGACTCAAATTAGCAGCAAACTGGCTGATTTCCTCAAAAATAATAGGGTCAAAAAACCTGAGAAGACTGATAAGTGTTAAAAATAAAGGACGTGTACATTTAATTTTTTGAAACAGTTGATAAGTCTCAAGTGTTAAAACTTAAAATAGTTTGCAGTCTTAAAATTACTTTGGCTTTAATGTTATGTTAGGTCAAAGGTCAAAAAACATAAGTTACAGTTACCACCTCTCCTTTTTTTTTCTTATAAACTTGTATGGAAAAGCAAAATTTATCATTCTTAATGGCAACATATTCAATACTAGAAATAAAATGCTTAGTATTTATGATAGTATGAATTAGAGTGTGAGCTGAATACTTTTTACAATGTGGCGTTACTTTTTGCTGGTCGTCAATCGTGTGATTACAGGGCTAGTTTGCTTTGCTTATAATTCAGAGGGCAGCTGTGAAACCTCTGAATCAAAGGTGCCAGCCAAGGTGGCCCTGGCATTTACAGCTATTGGCTGGCTTCCCCAGCTAACCTGGTCAAGCCAGGCCATTTGCTCTGTTGTGGTATTGGCCGGGCTGGTCGCATCTTCCCCGGCTCGCCTGTTCAAGCCAGGTTATTTGCTCTGTTATGGTACAGGCCGGGCTGACCGAGGCTTTTGGGCCAGGCTTTGACCCCCGTCTGACCAGGCTCCACTCTTGATGCAAGGGAAGGCACGATTTGTGAAATCTATCACTTTTGTTCTTTTTAACATAATATACACGAAAAAAGTACTCAATTCTGATTGGCTGAGAAAGGAGCACAGCTCCTCTGTAACACGAGTGCAAACTTGTAACACTAGTGCAAATTACAATTGCTTTCTGATTGGCTGGAAACACAGAAGAAACCAACAAGAACCAATCAGATTAGAGCTGTTTTAATTTTGTAAGCAAAACAACAATAGAAAAGTTAAAAAAATATTCCAAAAACCGGAACACAGTAAAAAGTACGTTTTTCTGGCTAAATGTATTGAAAATGCGTTGCTAAGAGAAAAATACTGTCAACAAAATCAAGGAAAATGAGTCAGAGAAACTAAAAAACAAGCTTCTTATAACAGACTACGCTAAAGTAAAAAAAAAAAAAGAACAAAAACGTTTGTAAACACACGCAAACCATGACAGCTACACTCTTCAGGCATTTAAATGAACAAGGATACAATTCCATGATGACAAAAGCGATTTCAAGTCACGTACGTTATTTGTTTCCCTCTTTGAGTCTTTTGTGGAGCGAAGACCTCTATTGAAACATCCATGCGATGGTCTGTTTTTTTCTATTTCAGATGCAAACGAAGCCGAAAATTTAAACATCTGGTCCAAACTAAACCAATGGGCGAAAATACCATAACCCACATAATGAAAGTATCCGTATCTGGTACTATAATAATAATAACATTTATTTATACCGCGCAAATTCAACTATACAGTTTTCAAATGCGCCTTACAATTAAAAATTACACGAACGAATAATTATCTAGTCTATAAATTACAACATATCAGAAAAGGCTTTTTTAAAAAGGTGAGTCTTCAAATTACGTTTAAAAACTTCAAAATTGGAGGTGCATCTAAGATCTAATAGAAGATTATTCTACAGTTTTGGTGCGGCGGCTACAAAGGCTCGGTCATCAAGAGTAGGGAGAGTCCTGAAGTTTGGATTTGAAAGCAGATATTTGTTATTTGATCTGAGGCTGTAGGAAGAATTAGGTTTAAAGTTAACGAGAGATGATAAGTAATTAGGAGCTGTTCCATGGATTGCTTTGTGAGTGAGTCAAACCAGGCCCTTAAGTTTCTAACCTTAGAGAAAGTGAGAAAAACGTTTACGAATCATTGTGACAGAAAAACAACAGGCAGGAAGCTGAAGAAAGCAAAGATTGTAAGTTCAGAACATATCGTCAATGTCACTGGCCACAGAGGTATAAATTTCCTTAACGACTACGATAAAGGCGACGAAGAAGAGCTACGATGACTCTTGCAGTAGGCCGAATGAAATAATGTAAACTCCAGCGCTGAGAAAAAGCAAGTATTATAGTAATACTGGCAGTTTCCGACATCACAACAACTGTGGCTCCACTCACCCATTGATAGCAGCGTCGAAAGAAAACAAATTGCCTCCTTCATTTTCGGGTTTTAAATCTCAAAAATTTCTCCATGAATCTAGCTATGATAGGGTCCCAGGAGCAGAATGATGAACAGTCGTTAAAAAACCTTAACAAGTGTCTTTTATCTTTGGCTGCTCGAAGGGTTCTCCTGATTTCAAAACGGCAGTATATTACTTCTTGGAAACGCTTCTTGTAAACGCCGAGCTCTCATAATCGAAGATGAATTTAAAAACACTTACTTTTGCTGATTATTGTAAACCAAGTTATCTTTAACAGGCTGGTGACCATATAAAAAAATCCTTGCACATTTCCTAGTTCTTAGATAAATGATTTTGAAAGCGTTGGTCTTGAAAAAGTTTGAATTTGACAAAGGTAGTACTCCGTTTCAGCCAATCAGTTGAATGAACTAAAAACACGTGCGCTGTCAAAATTTGTTGTTGTCACGTTATATTTTTCGTGTATATTATTAATAAGTAATCACATGATTTTTCTCGTGCAATTTGGAATAAATAAGCACTTGTAAATTTTTCAAAGACCACAAAGTGCACTCGCCCTACGGGCTCGTGCACTTTTGTTGGTCTTTGAAAAATTTGCTCGTGCTTATTTATTCCAAATTGCACTCGAAATCATGTGATTACCTATACAAACAACACTTTTATGAGTTAATAGTATGTTACATGCATTTTAATAATTACTTTGTATAGCATATAAGAGGAGATATGAGGTGGGGGGGAGGGGTCATCACGTAAATCTTGAATAAAGAAGGGGGGTCAGTTGCTATTTCCACGGTCTGCAGGGGGGGCCTTACAGAAATTTTGATCTTTCCAACATATTCCCCCCCTCTACATAAATAAATAATGACCGGTCCCTAAATAATTATAATTTTATGGGAAAACATGCCTCCCGGAAGGCCAGTTTTCAATGTCTGGCTAAAATCCTGTTCCAAGGTTTTGTGAAATACTCAGTTTAATCTGTGTGAGGCAGTTCATCACCAAAAGTACGGAGAGGAATTTTCGTAAGTGATTGCCTAACTAATTTTGTCAGCCACCTGACTTCCAACCTGCCCCTACAATGTTACATGTGACCATAACTCCTTGTGACATCATCATGCAGTTTCAGTTGTCAAGGACAACACGTCAGCTTGTCATCTAACTTGTGTAAGGGTAAGAGATCTTACATCAAAATGTATGCAGCAGGAGTTTGAGCCAAAACTGCCAAGGGATATTTAAACACTGTCGAAGAACAAGTCATTCTACTTCAGAGCAAGGTTTGGAGCAATTTATAATGCTTCTAAAACTAAAAAGTACCTTTTAAAGAATACACGATAGGTAATCGGCTTTTGTTTTAAGAATTAGCAAACGTTGAATTTACTTGTCCCGAAAATTCAAACTGGTGGCTCCTTCTACCTGATAGTAATTTATTTTTGAAATTCCAAAACAATTTCACAGCTGAATTTTGAGCGACTTTTAGTTACGGACTTCTGCTCCAACGATTTTTCTGAAATTCCTCTGGCACATTTATCATATCAATTGAAGCCGATACCAGAAATTTCAGTAAAAAATATCAGCAAAAATTTTTACTAGACGCGATTTTCTTTGAATAGTAGGGTCCTTTTAAGCGCTAATTTCTCAAGAAATATTTACCATCAATGAAATTGGAATATTTCGTATTATTGCCGAATGATATCTGTTGTTCTTTGTTCGCAGCCATCGCGTTAAAATCGAAAAAGTTATGACGGAAAATTTGTTACAGCAAAATGCTCTTGTATTAATTAAGGAGCCACCTTAATTCGTTACAGGTTATGTTTTGTGAGGAAACTCATGGAAATAAATTCCTTGTCAAAGTTATTAACAACTGTGATAGATCCTGGAATTCTGAAGAGGTAAGTATGTTTTTTTTTTCACATGAGAGTTGCTATTTTCATTACAATTATTAGGAGGCAGTATGGGGAGCAAGGGATTATATGGCGCAGTGGTGAGAGCGCTAGCCTCCCACCAATGACCTCACAACATTACATAAACATTACAATTTGATACTGGCGTTACAACTTTACATAAAAGGAAGCTACACTACACACTTTATCCTGAAAAAATAAATCGATATGTATACTCGACAACAGAAATATACAAATAACAATAACAAACAGAGAGAGAAAAAAATTAGGTTCAAATCCTGGCATCAATGCCATTTTGATATACAGTACAGGGTTGAGGTTGTTGTTGGTTCTCTCCTTTGCGGCGGTTTTCCCCTCTCCTTAAAAACAAACATTTCCAAATTCCAATTTGAACAGGAGTCAGGTAGATGAAGAACCACTTTGTGGATGTGCTGCCTCCATTAAATCATTAATATTATGTATCATTTATTATTATTTGTTGAGCAGTCAAAGTACTTGTCCTGCAACCCAGAGGCCTGAGTTCAGCTTTGCTCTGTCTATCAGCAGCTGGACTTGTTTCTTGGTAGTCCAGAAAATAACCTCTCTAACACGGTTGTACATACATCCTTGAAACCCTGTGGCATTTTTTACAACTGACCAGTAATACAGGCTTTTTTAATATATTTTGAGGTTTTAAGTAGGTGGAAAAATTAGAGTAGGTGGAAATGGAAAGAAGCTGCACCAAAGACGCAGGGTTCTAGGGGGGGCTAAATTTTGAATTCCTTGCATCTTAGAATGCATTTCCAAAATTCTGGGGCAACGTTCTTGAACAGAGCACAGACATATCATTTAATTTTGGTTTTTTTTATTCAGTGAAAGAGGACATGAATACTCTCTTTTTTTTAATCTACTTTTTTCTTGCAAAAAGCTATGAACCATTGGTTGTTCTAGTATCTGTTTTAAATCATGTTATTTGTAAAAACTCGCCAGACAGGGTTAGTTTCCAAAGAAAAGTAGGCAGCGAGCTCACATGAAATAGCTGGCAAATGTCGATAGCTGAGAGCTCTTATTGAAAACCCTATAATAGGTCTCCCATGGTGAGAGAAGAAGGAGAGGACAGAGAGAGACCTCTGCCAGGCCTCCGATGCGTTTTCTATCATGCAATCATTAGCATTTGCATAACAACCAGTTGAGTACTGAAGGTTCTAGTCACGTTCCAATTACAGAACCAGTTGCATTTACATTAATAAGTGTGGGCTCAGAAATTTCCAACCTACAGTCTCGACAGGGCACGTGCATTCCGCATTAAACGAAGCTAATTTTGAAATCCAGTTAGTTTCAGCCACAAATGTGGTCAGTGGCTACATGGAAGAATGTGTCGGAGCTTGTAGAGGTCTCTCTTTCCTATCATTTTTCTCTTGCTGTGAGAGGTCTCTGCTAGCAGGGATTAATATTACAACAGCAATGTCCTTAATAATTGTTATTATATATGATAGTTTAGTTTTTGTGGTCTTTACAGCAAGGAGTTCAAAAAAGTGACCTCCTTTAATTTATTCACATTTTTCCAATCAGAAGTCGAGGACAGTTTCCAGCTGGCTTCTGATTGGATAATACATGTAAATCTACAAGAAAGAATAATTTTGATGCGAATAAATCAAGAGCGATCACACTTTTGGGCTTTTAGCTGTAGTGGTGGTCACAATAACAGGTTTAATCCATATTTCATGAATTATTTTGCGTCTTTGGGGATTTTTATGCATCAGGGACGCAGGACGCAAAGGTAACAAAATCACTGGGCTTAATAGCGTTTTCACAATTCTTTTCTATGATTATTTTGAATGGTTAATGGCGGGTGGCCCCTTAGTAGGTGGCCAGGTAATGAATGTTCAGCTGTATTTTGTCTTGTAGGTACAGAAGAATTATAAGGAGTCTCTTGAGAAAATAGTTGCAGCGGCCAAAGAAATGGGCCCAACAGTAGAGCAGAGACGTCAAGAAAGCTTGAAGCGCTTTTCTTCATCAGAGGTTCAAGAACTAAGACAGCAGCTGAAAAGAGTAGAATTGGATTGCAGTGATGCAGAAAGTTGTCCTGGGAGCAGCGACTTTAACCAGATCACAGAACCGCTGAAAAATGAGCAGAATGATGTAAAAATGTCTTCCCAAGATGTAACACACTTGTTACATTCATGCAACGAACAGCACACATTCTGTCAAAGTATTAATGATGCTCTTATTCAGCTGATTGTAGAGCTTGTTCCACTGGTAAAAGACAACTTCATGTGTATTAAGCAGCTTTGCGTTTTCACAAAAGAATTGAAAGAACAGGAAAAAAGATTTTTATCCAAAATTGAAGTCCTTCGCGATCTAAAGGAACAGTTAGATAGCTTCCAAGTCGCTTATTTGGAAGAATTAGAAAAGTGGAGTAGAGCACAAAAAGAGGAAGTTCATGGAGTTGAAAAGCTGCTCTTTAACTCTCTTCATCAGGGAAAACTTCAAGTAAGTTGGATTTATGAAGAAATAATTTTTAACAAATATAGGCAATTAGAAATTTTTCAGAAATTTTTAAGAAATCTAGGCATTCCGTTTTATTGATGGCACTTGTAGTTCATTAATAACCTTTTTATGAGTGACCTCAAAGTTACAAATTTATCAGTTATATTTTGCTCTTAATTTTTTTCTTTATTTCTTACGTTTAGGTGGTCTTTGTACTCTTTTGAGTCCAGCTGAGTGTAATTCTTTGGTTGAGGGTCATGTATAGTTTAAAGGGACACTAACCCACACAAATTCCACAAAGCTTAACTAAATGTTTGTCCAATCTCTTTGATTGACACATAGTTCATACAAAACCCATCGATAAGGCCAGCTCTTTATTAAGTTTCCATAGCAACACGCAAACGACTGGTATCCTACTAACAATGCTTGATCTTGATTGAGTCTCCATAGCAACCAACAGGTAATCCACTGATTAAAAGGCTGGATCTTATTAGGTTTCCAGAGCAACATGTAACCCACCGGGAACCAACCTACATTTCGCGATGCCACCACTGGTTTCCCCGCGAAATGACGTCTGAGAAACGAGCACAGAAAATTCCACACTGATAACGTGTCACTACCCAGATCTGGGTAGTGCTTGTAATTGGCTGAAGTGAAGCAAATTTCCCTCGCGGCATGACCAAACAAAAGCACCACCCAGATGCAGGTAGTGTTGTGTAATCAGTATGAAATTTCATCGCTCGATTCTCCGTCGTCTGTTCACATGGTACTGACGAATTTTCGACTGATTGAAAATTCGTACTTTTTGTTCTGTTCACAAGGAACGTCGCTAACCGTACAAAAATTTAGACACTTGGCCGTTCAAAAATTTGAATTCCAAAATCCAGGTCAAACTGTTGACCCATAGGGTAGAAAACTTGACCGGTAAGGTGTGAACACCATAACCAGCTAAATTTTATGTACGGCGAAGGTGACGGGTATGGTTGCATGGATGCGTGGTAACTCAGCTCGGCCACTTTAAATGTTCTTTTAAGCACATTTAAAAGTAATAATTATTAAAAGTAATACTTTGTGTATGGGTAGATGGTAGAACCATTGAAAAAATCTAAGCTTCATGACAATAAAAATTTTGTTTGTTCGTTCATTCATTCATTCTTTTAATGAATGAATGAATGAATGAATGAATGAATGAATCAACCAAGCCATTATTCATTTCTCTCCAGAGGACTAAAACTCACTCATCAAAGAGTGCTAGCAAGTCACAAAGCCTCAGTGAGCTCTCAGATGCTGATAAAAAGCCCTTCGTATCAGACCCAGTGTGTACTCAGCAGCTGCATTTTTTGGACTCGGACAAGAAACTCAGCAGCAAAAAGGTTTGTATTTCATGGTCATTGTAAGCGCTCTATTAAGTTTTCCAACCAGCGTAGCATGCCGCAGAGAACTTTGAGCTTGTACAAGAGAGAATGATAGACAGAGAGGGAAACGTTCAGAAGTTGGAATGGTTTCCAGAGAGGTCCGAAAACCATTTTTTCAGTTTTGTCAAGAGAGAATTCAACAAATTTTAAATGAAGTGTAGTGAAGTTAAAGAATTCGTGACACTTTGTACAATGAGTTGTGACTTGTTAATCTTGAGTGAACAATAGATCAATTACTAGCTTTATAGGAACTGGTAATATGATCCGTAGGCCTATTACGTAAGCAAGCGGGCAAAAATGTGCAGCGTGTAAAGCAAATAGTTTTCCGATCAGAATAACGTAAAAGCTACACCCTTTTAACAGGTGGGATTTTGTGTAGGATGGAATGATTATTCAAACCTAGCCGCTCAGGATTTACGTACGTAATGTAGGTGTAATAGTGCTTTAAGCTTTCAATCGAATTAGGGTGTTTACTAGAATGGAAACCACAAACATTCTCTTCTATATTTTCCCACGTATGATTTAGCTACCAATATGTATAAAGTACGTTGATTTAGCAATAAACGATGAATGTGATCAGGACTTGAGTGTGTGCTCGTCCCTTAGAGCACCGATGGCCGGAAACCGTCCAGGTCTAGAGATACTCAAGCAGTCGACACATCTGTTGGCCACGAAATCAATTCCCGTTTACAACAGAAGGTAACTCAGCTGGGCCACTGTAAATGTTCTTAAGTAATACTTTTTTGTATGGGCAGATGGTAGAGCCGTTGAAAAAAGTAAAAATTCAACCTGGTTCTTTATGTCTGTGTATACTGAGTGAAACTGTTTAATGGTTCCGTGTGTCCGTTTCTGGTCAAAATCTTTAGCCGGTCAAAAATTTCATCTGACGCAGTGTGAAAGTAGCCTTAGATTTTGTTTTACTTAATTTCAGAAATTGTATAATCGAATATCAGTGCCTGACATTAGTGCAAAACCACCGCATGGGCTTGGAAGAAGAGTAAGTAGCCATAGTAACACAGTTACCATAGTAATCATAACTATAACAAAATTGTCAAATCTGATTGGCTATCAACTGCCCTGATTTCAGCCTTAATTGGACAGTTAAATAGGACAGTACACGTCATGCCTAAGTAATTGGACAGTACGCGCCATCACGCGCGCTTAAATGGCTTTTTTTCACTGCTAGCAAACAAAATTTCGAACTTCTTGTGTTTTGATTTAAAAAATAGCCTATTATATCACAAATTTTGTTAAAGTTCTGATTAATTGGTAACAGAACTTCGTGTCGTCCAATTCGGTCTGTAATCATACTCGTGATTAAACAAATCGGACTCCCGCTATGCGATCGTCCGATTTTGTTAATCACTCGTATGATTACAGACCGAATTAGACTCCACTCAGTCCTGTTACCATTATTAATCGTATTAATTACTTTAAGAACTCTTTTTTCTTCGTAGTAGGCAGCTGATAGATTCCCCGTATATAATTCTTTTTCAAGGATAGTAGAGGAGGAATTTCTATTTGCACACCGTCGGTGCGATGTAGGTATTGGGAGGTATAGTAATAAGCCCGGGTTCCTGGCGGGATCTGGGGGCATACCCCCCACGGAAATGTTTTGAAATGAATATGCGCTGAGGTGCAATCTGGTGCATTTTGAGACACAATTTCGAGAAATGTTACAGTGGTATTTTATTTTATCTTTTAGTCATGATCATGTTCCTTGTCATGTAGTGTCCTTAGACAGGGAAAACTCACTTCATGTGTACTGACCTCATCGTGTCTGGATGATTTTTTCAATGTAATTTCTTATATACTGTAATGATAAAAATTTCTTCTTTGGGGGGAGGGGGGGAGCTGGGCATTTTCTATTAATTTACATATGGTAAATTCCCTAGATAGAACCATGTACGCCATGTGTTTGTTGTGGTTGAAATTTTCTCTTTGGTTTGAATTTTTCAAACTGGTGTGAAATTTTCAAATTGATTTAAAATTTTTAAGCACTCACTCATTCTCATTTATTTGTATCTCTCATGCAAAATACTCTGTGTAAAATAAACTCGGCTGGAGCTTGTAGTCGGAGGAAAAATTCTATCCGAATTATTATATATTGTTACGTGCTAGTGAGAAGAGTGATGCATTGACCCAAAAACAAGTGTTCGATGAGTTTGAAATATGGTAAATACAGTAAATGAAAAGTCAATAACTCCCATTCCCTAAATTTAAATCTCTGGGGACGAGTTTGTAACTAAGCAGCAATATTGTGTCAATAACAACAAGAATCAAAGCTTTCTGGGCTCCTCTCATACAGTTTTGACATGGTATACACACTTACGACTTACGCATGAAATCGAGGCCTAAGGGCCACATCGCTATTAATAAATTGTATGAAGTCTTAGTGGCAGAAGCGCGCCCTACAACTAACACAAAAAATAGTTCCCATAAATGCTACGCCGCTGCGCTTTGTAATAATCGTTCCAATAATAGCAAAGACTTGACGTGTTCAAGGATCCTTGCTGAGGGTTAGTTTCTCGACCACTGTCCAATTTCCAACGCACGTTCATTTGCTAAAACTAAAGTGCCCCAGAAATATCTTTTGGGGTTAAATTTTAATCTCTAAATCACAACTTGCTCTTGCTTTCACCATTCTATTTACTTTGTTAAATTCTGCGAGACATTTGGTGACCAGTAGGCCTCTCTTTCATGCTTACATCGTAGGTGTGTATGGTATTGAGGTCTTTCATGGCAAGGAGAAACTATTAACTTTAAAAGTCTAAGCTTCATGACAATGAAAATTTTGTTTGTTCGTTCATTCACTCATTCATTTAACCACTTAATGAATGAATGAATCAACCAATCAATCGTTCATTTCTTTCCAGAGGACTAAAACTGACTCATCAAAGAGTGCTAGCAAGTCACAAAGCCTCAGTGAGCTCTCAGATGCTGATAAAAAGCCCGTCATACCAGACCCAGTGTGTGTTCAGCAGCTGCATTTTTTGGACTCGGACAAGAAACTCAACTGTAAAAAGGTTTGTATTTCATGGTCATTGTAAGCACTCTATTAAGCTTTCCATCTAGCGTAGCATGCTTCAGAGAACTTTGAGCTTGTACAAGAGAGAATTATAGACATAGAGGGAAACGTTCAGAAGTTGTAATGGCTTGTTAAGAGAGAATTCAACAAATTTTAAATGAAGGTATTATCGTTGCAGTGGTAATTGCAATTTAAGCAATTGTAAATTAACCCGAACAAAAAAAAAATGTCGGGACTTCAACAGGATTCGAACCTATGGCCTCTGCGTTAGGCAATAGGACAATTGCACGATGACGTCATTTTACTACAACTACCAGAATCCTTGAGTTTGTTGTTTTCTTGTGCAAATTAAGGCTATTGTTCTTTAATCCTCTGCGGGATTGTCAAATTTGAATAACAAAGCAAAACGGAAATGAATTCTGGTAGTTGTAGTCAAATATCGTCATCGTGCAATTGTCCTATTGAGCTATGAAGACCAATACATTGGGAGCAGGCCAATTTGTTGAGTTCATCTTAACCCGTGAATGGAATGAAGCAATGAAGATGATGTGAAGTACGGAAATACAACTTTTAAATGAAGATATGATCTTCGCAGTGGTAATTGCAATTTAAGCAATTGCAAATGAACCCGAAAAAAAAAATCAGCATTCAGTAGTCGCCATTACAATCTATTCTGCATTGTTTGCTGTGAGGCAGTCGCGCGAACAGGAGGGCATCTTGTATGCGCATGCGTCAATATGGTCTGTTGAAGAGCCTCAGAGGCATTTTCTGTGAATTGTTTACATTCAATACCAGTATTTGGAGGCTGTTTGCTGGAGCTGAATGACATATATTGAGTGCTACGTTCCACAAACGTATTCTTTAAGGTATCTAGGCATTTCCGCAATGAAAGTGAGTTTATTTTAGCCTCGCTGTCGCCCTTGAGAGGACAGTCTTTCCTTTCGTAAAACAGTACGTCGAGGACAATATGGCGGCTGAGGTTCGTAGGTTGAAATTTTAAGATGTTGCAGGGAATCATTCTCATTGAAAGTTTCAGACCTTATTACATACGTTATGAAGATTATGTGAAGAGATTTTAAAAAAAATTGTTCGAGTCGTTTCAGAGACATATAAAAAAGGTCTAAAGGTCCAAATTTTGAATGAAGTTGAACTTATACGGGTGGTGAGGAAACGGGTTAGTTTTCAAGATCGCAAGAACAAAAATACACCAAAATTTCCTAGCATCAAATATGATATCAAACAGCATTTTGAGGTTCCGTAAGAATAATTTGAGTCATTTATAACGTTTTTATTAAATAATCTATCACGGCTATTGAAAATTTAAGGTTTGAAATATTCTTTCATTTTCGTCGAATTCAAACATACAGAATTTTTTACTTGTTAAGGAGATTGTTTGCTGAACACCAAACTTTAAGCTCCTAGTGTTGGATTTTCAGTAGCTGGTCCAGATCAAACTAAATTTGGCTTTTATCAATTTCAAAGTTTTTCGTTTTTTGTTGTCAAAGTAGTATCAATTTTACTTAAAACTACATTTTCACAAATTGCAACCCATAGCCAGTTACTGGTGAAAATTTTATAGCGATCGGACATAGAAAACATACTTTTAAGGAGATTGAAAACACCTTAAGGATGGATAACTCGCATAAATTACCAGAACAGATTATTGAAGAAAATACCTACTTTAACTTGTTCATGTTTTTGTTTTGTAATATATAGATTTAGCCAGGGCTAAAAGAGAAACTCCCGTTAATACAGTCATTATTTAAATCTAACAATAAACAAGTAATCCACAAATCAGTTAACTTTAGGCCACATTCATGTGACTTTGAAGCAAAGGCTAAGTGGTTTTAGAGAAAAATAATTTGACAGTCCAACAGTGAAACAAATTTTACATCGAGTTAATAGTCTTATATGTACACCCAAAAATAGCAATCATGTTCGATCACAGTAGATTAGGCCCGAAAAAGAAATTCTTCCCAAACAGAATAACCCAGTCGCCCACCACCTCAATTTTATAAGGTTAATTGACAGCTCTCCAACCACTCCGTTGGAGAGACTATGGATAATCGGATAGCCCTGGCCTAGAAATATAAGTTTATGAAACACACGATAGTCCTCGGTGGCAGCCAATTTACACGTTGCATTCCTCTGTCTAAAAGGGTGACCAAAATAAAAAATCAGGCCGGATCTTTTGGGTTCGACCAGGTTACTTTGCAAATAAATCTTGGCGACAAATCTGGTGGGGTGTAAACCAGCCTTTTAAATATACTTTTCCATCAAGTCTGAGGTAAACAGTACTATGAGGAGCTGTGTTTTTTAATCATACAGACCTCGCTCAGGATTTGTTCTTTTTTGCCCTATTTAAACCTATACCGGAACCTTTCATTTAGAAAAATCTGGTCCTAAGTGATATGCAGGGTAATAATTATAAGCTTTTAGTGAAAACGATAAAATCACCTTTTCGGCCAGCCGGATAGGTTCTCACTTTTGACAGGCACCAACTAATTTGCAGTTCGAGCTGTCAAGTGTTTGAATGAACATTAATGGAGTTACCATTTACGCTTCAACATTATAGAGAATTTGTTATGTTTAGGTTGTATTTTCCTTTATTTATAAAACTGTTTATGGTTTTGTTATGTGTAATCTTTAAAAGCGAGTGATATTTACTCGTGGCATTTTGAGTGCTCCTGCATGCATGCGAGATGTTTATGTACGACTAAAAACAACCGGCGCAGCGACAAAAATTGCAAGAGGGCCTAACAATCAATAAAATAAATATTATTCGATGAAACATGTACAGAGACAATAATTTTCATTCAATAAGACAAGCATTGAGAGTAAAGTGTCTCTGAAAATCGTGAGTCAGGTAAGCAAAAGCTTCAGCTTATTTATGTTTTAAGACTGGCTTCCCGGTGTTTGCTATTTTTCAAGATGAACTCTGTAACGTTATTATGTCACGTAATCACTTATGTCATGTGACTCAAGTTAGCCAATCTTGTTAGTCTAACCGCGTGTTTAGAGATTCGCTTTGCTTGTAAGTTGTTCGGAGCCGATAAGTCTTTGTTCTATTAAATTTCAAGATTCCAACTACCTTGTGCTTCTAAATTGTCTTCGAACTTCTAAAGCCTTCACGAGCAACCTGTAACGCGAAGAAATTTGGAAATGCCTCCACCGCCCGAATCGGACTCTGCTGGTTCAACACAGCAAATTAATTCTCTGACTTTTATGACCAATGTACCTCCACCAGGACGGCTGGAATTAAAAGGAAATCTCTCTTCTCTGGAAGAAATGGAAGCAAGTTTGGGACACCTACGAAACCGTCACAAGACTAAACGAAAAGGAAAGTAGATCTTGTGTAACGACTTTCATCACTTGCATTGGCCCCGACGCGCTCGAAGTACACAATGGTTTGCCTTTTCTCTTTGATGAGGAAAAATAAGACATAAATGTCGTTTTGAATCTATGGAAGTCTCATTATATTGGACAGACAAATGTTATCTACGAACATTAAAAGATCAACAATCGCAAACAAGAGTTTCACGAATCAATCGATGTTTACGCTGTGGCACTGCGAGCTCTAGCGGCAACGTGTGAATTTGGCAAGTTAAAAGATGAGATGATCCGCGACCGCCTTCTTTGTGGAATTGCCGACAATAGTGTTCGACGAAAGTTGTTGCAAGAGCCCAAATTATCGCTTGAAAAGTGTTTGGATATCTGTCGATCAGCCGAAGCCACCAGCACTCATCTTAAAGCCATCAGCGGGCAGTCATCGACCAAGTTAATGCAGTAGACAAGCGGAGAAAGTCGAAAGCGCCACCAAAACGACGGAGCAATGGCCAGATACAAAAACAGCCACTACCTGAACCTAAGGAACACTTGTTAAAGCGTTGTAAACACTGCAGAAGAAGTCACGTCAAGCAACGTACCAAGTGTCGTGCATTTGGAAAGTTGTGTAGTGCATGCAAGAAACCAAATCATTTTGCTCAAATGTGCAGAAGTACTTCTGGTAAAAATAGCCGACCACGGAATGGTGTAAACATGGTCAACGCAGAAGAGTCCTCCAAAGAAGAATTGCTGTCAGTGTCTTTTGACTCATATGAAGGAAATGTACATGCGGTCAACGAAGACAATCTTCCTGAGAAGAAAATCTTTGCGACAATGGAAATCGCAGGAGCAAGTATCCGAATGCAAATTGGCACAGGTGCTTCCTGTAATGTCTTACCTCAGAAATATGTGCCCCCCGAAACAGTCATTACTGAGACTGACCGTACTTTGAAGATGCATAGCAAGTCTGCTTTTGCCTGTTTTAGGAACATGTAGAGTGAGCATGGGTAACCCAAAGAACAGCAAGAAGTACAATGTTGAATTTGTTGTTGTGAAAGGCAATTACACACTGCTGATTGGATCTCGTGCTTCTCAGCAAATGAATCTGGCAACAGTACACCAAGAAAACATTCAGCAAGTTACCACTGACACTAAGAATCTTACCCTGACTCAAGTGATAGAAGATTTTGGAGATGTGTTTAAAGGACAAGGCTGCATCTTGAAATTGATGGAACAGTCACACCAGTGATTAATCCACCCCGTCGAGTCCCATTCGCACTCAAAGATAAATTGAAGTCTCAACTAGACCGGCTGGAGGGGCTACAAATGATCCAGAAAGTAAAGGAGCTTACTGAATGGGTGTCAAGCCTCGTAGTGGTGGAAAAGCCAAATGGAAAGTTGAGGATCTGTATTGACCTAGGCCATTTGAATAAGGCGCTGAAGAGATCGTACTACCCTTTACCCGTAATAGAAGATGGTCTTCCTGAGCTATCCGATGTCAAAGTTTTCAGCAAAGCAGACCTTAAAGATGGTTTCCTACACATTGAGCTTGATGACGAGTCATCTTTGCTGACCACCTACCAGACACCGTGGGGACGCTACTGTTGAAAACGCATGCCCTTTGGGATTTCACCTGCTCCCGAGCTGTTCCAGCAAAAGCTTGATCAAAACGTAGAAGGGCTCCCCGGTGTACACAGAATCTTTGATGACCTGCTGATAACTGGACTCGCTTATGTCATGTGACTCATGTTAGTCTAACCGCGTGTTTAGAGATTCGCTTCGCTTGTAAGTTGTTCGGAGCCGATGAGTCTTTGTTCTGTTATTGTTCTAACAGAAGAACACTCGCAAAGGCATCTGTCGGATCCAGAGTATGGTGGAAGCACGTAGATAACTTGTCCCAACGATGCAGCATTTCTGCTAACGTTACATTGGACACTAAATCACTGGAGGAGCTAAACGAATACTTCGCCGATTTGTGCGCTGATTACGTATATACGAAGCCTGTACCAGCTATTGTGGATAAGAGCTTAGAAGCCCCTCAGATATCAGAAAGACACGTGTGGAATTGCTTACAACATCTGAAGAAAACCACTATGGGACCAGATCTCAGTCCCTTTTGGATTTGGAGGGATTACGCTGAGATCTTCACAAGTGTCATTCATAATATCTGGAATGTTTCCCTGAAAACTGGCAAGTGGCCCTCCTCGTGGAAAAGGGCCCACGTGACGCCCCTCCCTAAGATCGACATCCCTAAGGGCAAGCAGGACTTCAGAGGAATTAAGATCACGCCTGTAATTGCACGCGCGTTCGAGAAATCTGTGTATAACACCCATTCACGAGACATTGTCGAACAGCATCTGAGTTCAACACAGTTTGCTTATACGACAGGGGGGAGTTGTACTGATGCACTCTTGAGCATGCATCACACCATCTACAGCTATTTAGACGAGCAAGAGTGCAAAGCCGTCCGAGTATTCGCAATGGATTTTAGTGAAGCATTTGACTGTGTCAATCATGAACTCCTGTCATCTAAGCTTAGGCAGTTGTCATTGAATCCCCTTATTGTGAACTGGTATTTAAGCTTTCTCGAGAAACGCCAGCAGCGAGTAGTTTATAACGGTTTTGAGGGACAGTGGCGTGAGGTTAATAGGGGTAAGACACAAGGTAGTGTCAGTGGGCCATATCTTTTTAACTTGTTTATTAATGACTTGGAGATCAATCTAGAAGGTCGCCCAGCCTTGTTTAAATATGCTTATGATTCTACAATTATCGTCCCTTTTTGGGGAAACGGCCAGTGTCGCACTGACTTGGTGGATCAGTTTCTTAGCTGGTCCAGCCGCAATCGCATGACATGCAATCCAACAAAATGCAAGGAGATTATTTTCCGTAAGAAAGGTTTCAGTCAGGACATCGCGCCAGTTAGTAATATACCGCGGTGCGCAGAGTTATCCATATTAGGTGTTACTTTCCAACAAAATTGTAAATACAGTAGTCAAGTGCGCGCGAAGGTAATTAAGGCGAGCAAGTCATTATTCGTATTAGGATCTTTAGGTAAGGAAGGAATGTCCCAGGAGGAGGTAGATCACCTTTTTAACGCAATAGTTTTACCAAATTTTTCTTACGCTCTGCCAGTTTATGGTGCCTCAGATTCCGACCTTTCTGTAATACAGAATTTTTTAGACCGGTGTATGAAAAGAAAGTTTATGTCCAAGAGTGTAAATATCAGGGATTTGCTAGAGAGGGCGGACAAGACACTCTACAAAAAAAGATCGAATGACCCCGAATGCCCGTTCTTCCAGTTTTTACCTAAGGAAAAGAACATGAGGTACAATCTTAGAAATACGTCAGTCTCTGTCCCTAGAATCTACACTGACAGGTTTAAGAATGTTTTTAGTAACAAAATAATTTTTAGATATGATACGCAAATAGTTTTTTGAGTTTATATTGTAACTTAGGATATGTGATTTTATCTTAAGAAATAAAGATTATTATTATTATTATTATTATTATTATTATTAAATTTCAAGATTCCAACTACCTTGTGATAGTTTATTTAACTGGGATCGCAACAAACTCGAGGCAAGAAAATCGCTCAGAGATTCCTTTTTACAATCAAAATCATAACTAAATATTCTTCTGAATGTTTTCCTTGTATTTGCGGTTGAAAAATGTCTAAAGACATTTGATACTATTGTAGGTCAAATCATTGTCTCGTGCATAAACTAACCGCATAAAGTACGCTCGACATCAGGAAATCGGAAAAAAAAAACATCAAAGACAATAATTGCTCAGGCTTACCAGTCGACAGCTGAGTCGAGATGCTGCTCCTGAAGGCCATCAAGTGAGGCCAGAATCACTTGATACTTTTCAACCCTCTTGCGCCTCGAACAAGGGCAAGTAAGTAAGCTCATTTTTGAAAACGATGCCATCCGAAATCGGATTTCCAATGACTTTGACAAGCGGTGAGTTTCTCAACCAAAAGTGCAATAAACAAACCAGCCATGAATTACAGAAGAACCTTGGTAGCAGCTGTATTTCATTTTGTACATACAGTAAAAAAAGACAGTTAAAGACATCTCAAGATGACACAAAACTCTGTCAGTTTCAGCTATCGGTAAACAAGTTTCCAGATGCTGCATAAATTTTCCCCGTGAACTCACCTGTCAAATTTTGACCAATCAGAGCATAGAAATTGGACTTAGAGCATGACCAACGAGTGACTATGGTGAGAAAAGTCAAAAGCATGTAAAAGCCGGTTGAATTTTCGCGTCCGAGTTCAGTTTGAAATCAAAATTTTTTAAGTGCGGCTCATGAACACGATTTCAGTTCATGTGCATTTTTAAAAATTTGAACTTGAGCCTGCGATCATTTGAAAAGTAGCAACCTCTCAGCGGATAACTTCAAAAACACTCGAATTCAGTGGGTCGATACCTGAGCTCTCGATACGGTCAAGTGATACTGGTCAGTGGATACACCGTTTTGATAGCGACTACGAGTGTGAGTAAGACATTTCAGTCAGGCTTGTAGTGAGGGCGAAATGCCAGATCGAGTACCTGAGCGGACCTGAGCCCGCACATGTCCCATTTTGACAGCTGTCAGTTGACCTTAATTTGGCTCGCACATATAACTCTAAACTACTGGTAGCCGACTGACAGCCCTGCCCGGCGTAGTTTCGTTTTTATGTTGAATCGGTAAGTGTGACATACTATATCAGGTAATATGTAGTGGCAAAACGACTGGTCTTTCATCTGAGCCCACGAGATGATCATGAGATAATGGTCAGCGGATACCTGATTTTGACGGCTGTCAATCTGACCATATTCATACGAATGGGTAACATAACTGACAGGCTGGTGCCAAGTTGTGTAAGATCTATTGTGACATTTGACATCGGCTTGCATGAAGTATGTGTACGGGTGGGCGGGCGTACGCTACGTCATGACCAAATTTTCTCGGATGGATAGTTTACCAAATCTTGTTACCCATGGTGCTCCGCTGCGCGCTTCGCGCGCGAGAGCTCCGCTATTATAACAGAACCAGCAATTGCGTGTCGCAGTAGAATTTAAAGATAGAGGAGAACGAGAACAGGAGGTTAGCCAGGTATGCATGAAATCATCAAGCTATTTGTGCTAGTTTGGCGTGTAATGTCTAGTCAAACAAGCATACTTTTTTCCCTTTTCCTTTACAGGTTGAGCAGGTTTTTAGAATGGGCAACAAATCTGAAGAGTTAGAAGAACAGCTTTTAATTGCCAGGCAAAAGTCTCAAGAGAAAGAGGAAGAAGTAAGTCAGCAATTATTGCCGTGTAACGATAGTAAGCCTGTCATGCATCTCAGGCCTTGTTTATATGGAGACTAAGTTGTCCGGGAAACAGGATCACACCCTCCAAGCCGGGTAAATTTTAGTGAACGTTTATATGAGAAAAACGTTTACCCATTTGCCCGAGCCAAGAGCGCTTGCGCATGCTCTGATAGTCTCACCTTGATAGATTTCGCCGGACTGGAAGAGCCAAAGGCCCGGCTAGAAAGGTGACTCTACCATCAGGAAAAACGGTTCACCAAGTTTTGAAAGGAAAATTGGGAACTGTTTGACTCGCGCCCAGGGTAGCTCTGGCAGGTGGGTGATCCTTGAACGCTAGGCCAGTTAATTCCAGTTAAACCTGGCCTTATATGTGTTTAGTGTAAGGTATTAGACTTACAGACTTATAGCAACTGCGTAACTTAACCATTAACTAACAAAATTAGAATACATGACAATTCCGCAAATCAGGAAAAAGTGACTTTTGAAGTTGATTTTATCATCATGCAGCCTGAGGAGACGAATTATTTTTAACGTGCGTACACAACAAGATTTGCCAGCCTTTCCGTCGGCAAAAAGGCATTTGGTGTTGTTACAAAATATTAATAACGTTTGCCTTTCTTCCTTTTACAATCTACAGATTTTACGATTGAGGAAAAAGCTAGGTGAACTTGAAAAAGAACTTTCTGATGTCAAGCGTGAGTCAGACGATACCAGGCAAGAGGCAAGTCAACATTGTTGACACGTATAATTCACCGGGAACATTTTAACAAACAACTTAATTTTGATCATGATCTTATCTGGTTTAGCGTCTTCTAGTTTAAGATGGGAGCAAATAACAGCTGAGAACTGCGAAAAATCGCAACTAACGCGAAAAATCGTCAGACGAGCGATTTTTCGCAATTTTCGCAACTGGCTTTTTTTAAAAAGATTGCCAACCTTGCAATTTTTCGCAAACACACGAAAAATCCCAATTTTGCAGTTGCTTTCAAACCTAGACATAAGTGGCCCAAGTTATACTTATAGTCCTAAATGCCAAAAAATACTGGCGGTAACTCGGAGGAAGGGGGCACTAAAAATACGTTTGAGAAGTGCAAGACAAGACATCTTATTTTCCCTTTGTTTCCCTAACTAGATTGCAGCCCAATCTCTGCCTCAGGAGGTTTTGCGTTTGGCGTACTTTTAGTTGCCCATTTGAACGCTTTCTACTTTTCCACCAGAGTCATTTTCTGATGCACTTTTCCATTTATAACGTGTTTTAGGACGGCGCTTTCTCCTCGGATGCGGACCAAGCAGATAGAGAACATCGCATTGGGGCTCAACTGAAAAATATTAACGAGCAGCTCAACACATACGTTACATCTCCTTTGCAAGCGCCGGTAGTAAAACAAGATCAACTACGGTTAGCAGTCAGAATTGACGTTTTGATCAGACTTAGCGAGAACCTGCGAGACTTATACACCGAAACACAAGAAATGAGTTGCGAAGCTACTAAGTGTAGCAAAGACTTAAGGAGAGACTATTATGGCCTTGCCTATCACGGGCTTAGGGAGGAACACTTTGAATTGGTCCACCGAGTAAAGAATTTGGAATCTGCAAAAGAGGATATGTCTGAAGAGGAAGGAAAAGAATACAAAAAACTTCAGTCATATCAGAAGGACAGACAAAGACAAGTCGAGGCATTGGATAAAGTGTGGAGACGTCTTTTTTCTCCGGTATGTGAACAGAGCAAAACTTATACTTTCAGCCACATTGGTTACTCGACTTTCCTACGCATAAAAAAATAGGCAAAACAAGCTAAACGGTATCATGTCATAGTGCATAGTTAGAGAAGGTCCTAAAGAACGAAATTTCTTATTTATAATCTTATCGGTTCGCCCTTGCAATACTCTGCGAACAGAGACCCTTTGGTCTTCGATCTTCTTCGACAGAGAGGGCTTCTGCTCGGAGGGTCTGCTTGCTATCATTTCAAACATCAGCCGTGGGGCCAGTTGCACAAACTTAGTCGGCCGGTAAAAAGCAATTTTAACGCGACATTTAGTCACGATGCAGAAGCCTCTTGTCAGTTCAGCCCAAAGCTTACTGACTTTCGTTATAATTGCAGATCGATCGCCTTCCTAAAACAACAGCATCAGATCCTACTGGCAGCAAGTCAAGGGGTCGTAAAAAGGTAAATGCATATATGCTCAGGATATGATCTATTCACCAAACGCTAAATACAGAGAGTTTTCACATGACATCATGGCGGCCATCATTTGGTGTCCCAAAAGAATAAGACAGCGGCCATGTTGATGTTCCAAACTAATCCTGTGGGAGTTGAACTCTTTTCTTATGCAAACGCTTTCTATTGTTCCAATATCCACGCATAGATGCTGGTCACGTGAGTGGAACCGCTCTATATGATATATGGTAGCCATCACAAAGTGTCCACAAGAATATTAGTTTTCCAACAGAAGACAATGGTCATTCTGTCGTATATTAAGCAAAGATATGAAAAGGAAAAACAACACAATCAAACACTAAATGCTTTTAGTATTACACACTCAGTGATCTTGGTAATTCAAGCAATCTGATTGGTTAGCTATCTCGGACTATGACGTTGAATAATATATAGATTTAGCCAGGGCTAAAAGCGAGGCTCCCATTATATATTTATAATTTAAATCAAAAAATAAACTTGAATTCCACAATTCAGTTAACTTTAGAGCACATAGCACATTCATGTGACTTTTGAGGGAAAGGCTAAGTGATTTTAGAGAAAAATAATTTGCAAATAGCCCAAGAGTGAACAAAATCTTACATCGAGTTGATAACCTCATATGTACACCCAAAAAATAGCAATCATCTTCGATCACATTTAAGAGCCATAATGGCTCTTGTCACCGTAAGATTAATTAGGCCTGGAAAAAAAATCAGGTTGAATTTTTTTGCGTTCGACAAGTTTACTTTACAAAATCTTGCAAACAAATCTGGTTGCGTGTAAACCAACCTTTTATACCATTTATACATCACATCTGAGGTGAAACAGTACTATGAGGTACTGTTTTTATCATACAGACCTCGGACAGAAGTCAGTATTTCACAATTTTGCAACAGAAATTGCACTCATTCAATATTCAGGACGATCGAAGCACGCGTGGCCTTTTAGCTAAACCGTTAAAAAAATGTCCAAAATCACATATACAGCCAGCCGGTTCTCACTTTTGCAGTGCGAGCTGTAGCGAATGTTTGAACGAACATACTAGAGTTAAGCTCCAACATAATAAAGAAATTATTATGTTTATTTTTTTATTTAATGGTTTTATCGATCTGTAATCTTTAAAAGCGTTTGATACGCGCGGCATTTTGAGTACTCCTGCAAGCGATGTTTATGAACGCCTGAAAACAAACGGCAAAGCGATGAAAATTACAAGAGAGACTACCAACAATCAATAAAGGAAATATAATTCGGCGAAACATATACAGAGACAACATTTTTCATTCACGAAGACAAATATTAAAGTGTCTCTAAAAATCCTGAGTCTTCAAGCTTAAAAACCGGCTTCCCGGTATTTACTTTTTTCACAGATGAACTCGAGGCAAGAAAATCGCTCGAAGCTTTCTTTTACGACAGAATTATAACTAAATGTTCTTTGGAACGTTTTCTTTCTATCTGCGGTGAGAAAATGTCTAAAGACTTTTTAAAGTTGTGTAAGCTTATATCAAGTTTACCTGATTCTTGGTCAGATCAAATTGTCTCAAATCTTACAAACGTGCATAAACTACATAGCCGCATAAACTACACTCGACTTCTTTAAATTAGATATAAAAAACAAACATCAAACACAATAATTACTGAGGCTTACCATTCGAGATGCAGCTCCTGAAAGGTATCAAGTAAGGCCAGTATCGCTTCAGAGTTTTCAACCTTTACGCATCAAGCAAGGTGAAAAACAAAAACGTTGACATCCGAAATCGGATTCCCGACTTTGACAAGTGATGTATTAATTTCTCAACCAAAAACCAACTAACCATGAATAACAGAAGGCTCCTGATAGCAGCTAAATTTCATTTTGTGCATCCAGTGAAAAAAGACAGTTTAAAACATCACAAGTTGACACAAAACTCTCTCAGCTTCAGCTGTCAAAGTAAACAAGATTCAAGATGCTGCATAAATTTTCCGCATGAGCTCACCTGTCAAATTTTGACCAATAAGAGCATAAAAAATGGACGTAGAGCGTGACCAACGCGTGACCATGGTGAGCAAAGTCAAAAGCAACTGTCTTGCCTGTGATAGCTGGCTGAATTTTCGGGTCCGAGGTCAGTTTTAAATCAAAATTTTAATTGTGCGGCCCAAAAACAAAACATTTTCATATGAATGAAAAAAAATCAAACTTGAGCCTGCGATCATTTGAAAACTAGAAACTTGTCAGCGGATAACTTCAAAAAATACTTGACCTCGATGGGTTAACACCTGAGCCCGCGATACGGTCAAGTGATACTGGTCAGCGGATACCCTGTTTTGACAGCTGTCAATTGATCAAAACATTGATGTCTAATGGATGTGTGCATTATCAGTTTTCCTGTGCTCACAAACTAGCTAGAAAGTATGAGATTGAATATTGATCGCGATCTAGTAAAACAACTGGTCAGCGGACAGCTTCCAAATAACTCACGTCACCTTGATGAGTTGACACATGAGCCCCCGATATGGCAATGTGATACTGGTCAGTGGCTATCCTGTTTTGACAGCTGTCAATTGACCATATCGTGAATGGCCAATGTAAAAGATGTGGATTTGCTAAGACACGCCTGAGACACCCCTCCCTTCCTTTTGATAGTCTCCCCTACCCTACCCGTACAATCTGTAGACGCGTACGTACGTACGTACGCTCGGTCAGTCACGTGACAACCAAAAGAAAAGAAGTTGACCATATTCCATGAGTATGGGGCTCTGTCCCACGCGCGCTTCGCGCGCGAGGGAGCCCCGCTATAAAGCAGAACAAAATCGCTGACGTGAAGTGGGTGTTTTGCCAAAGTTTTATAGTAAAGCCTTTTGAAAGTACACGAATATCCAAGTGCTGATGACTTTGAAGGCAAGAAAAGACTTCATGGTGTTAATGCAGCGTGATTTTTGCATCAGTCAATTCCACTTGCGCCACTTGAATGTTCTCGATTTTATGGATACATTTCTTCATTGCTTATCAAAATTACATAGTGAAATTGGAGGTATCGATGTGAATCAACGTTTTTGGGTTATCGAATCAAATTTCTGTTGATATTATTTGACGAACATCCTTTCATATGTATAAAACTTTTCATATCATATAACTTTACAGCGCTCTATTAATTTTAAAGTCAAGAATTTTATTTCAATACTAAAACCATAAACTGGTACATGTCGTCGTTAGAATTGTTAGAATCCTAGCGCATCGTTAGAATCCTAGCACTATTACACACGAAGACGTTAATTGCAACAAAAAATCGCACATTAAATAGCTTAAAATGGTGCTATTCGACTGTGCGATCAATGAAAAATGTTGCGGTGTTGACTGAGGACGGGGCATTTGCCGTCTTTTTTCGTCCCCACCCTGAGGGATTTGACAGCTCAAGAGTCCACCCCCCCCGGAATTTGCAATCCAGGGCAAAAAAAAAAGGGTCAGCCCGGGGTGGGGAAGGGGGGGGGGGCTGGGCGCAGGTGGAATTGACTAATGCATTATTGTGAAGTGGTTTACTGGTTTGCCTATAAATAGAAGTTAATTTATGGAGAAAAGAGGAAGGAAACTATTTTCGAAAATTGTACGTGCCAGCAAGTTAACAAGGCAAACAACTTTGGAGGTAAACAACGCTCACCTTGATCGTAGCCGCTGTTGACAGCATTTTCAAGAAGCGACAAAGAAAACTTTCTCATTCACGGTGAGTTGACAGAAACAAATAAAGCTCTACTTTTCTTCTCAGAATTTCGGCGTTTTGTTTTAAACCGTTGATGCTAAAGCTTACAAAACTCGATACATAAAGATTAAAACTATCATTTGCCATGTTTGAAGATACTGTAAAGATCTAACTTTTGCGCATCCACTGTTTACGGCTTCGTGTTCACGCATGAATTCACCCGTCAATCAAACTAATCGTTTTTTAATAGTTTCCTTTCTGATTCTGTTGAGATCACTTCGTGTGAATATACTAAAACAATTATTCACCTCAGGCTCAGTTAATATTGCTGAATAATCCCCTCGACTTACTCAACAATATTAACTTCGCCTTCGGCGAATGATGTTAAATATTTCAGGCAGTTCTTCGTGTCCGTCGTCACTTCATTTAAGCTGCATGTTCCCGCTTTTCTGGAACTATTATGAACAGAAAAGAAAATGGGAAAGAAAGAAATCCAAGAAATCATTTCTTAGCTCTGAAATCCGTTTGCGGATTTCGCGTTCGGTTGCAAATCCGAAGCCCGGATTTTATAATCTGAATCCACATTTCCCAATCGAACGCACCCTGAGCTAGAGATGAATAAGAAGAAAAGTCGGTTTGCAATTTCACTTTTCTTTTTAAATTTCCTCCTGATTTTCGAAACTTTTAACCAGTTTTCTACCATTTTTTTCCATTTTTGTCAAAGAGAACTTGGATGAGGTAAAACCGGCTAAAGGATTAAACTTTTCTGCCAGACATAAACTATAGGAAACATGGATTTCAACTAAACTGAGGTCAAATTAATGAGTAATTAATTAAATTGAATTATCTCACAGTGAAGTACTCTTTTGTCCTATCTGGTCAATTATCCCAGTGTATTTCTCGTAGAAGAGCATGGAAATACAGGGCGTTAATTTGTTTTACAGGACTCAATCGGCAGCTAATCGGCATTCATTAAGTCTCCTCTAAAAAGTTAAGGAGAATACACCGCGCGCTTAGCGCCCGCTTCTCAGGATTTAGAAAGGACGCTCGGTTACCAAGGCCTCTGCGAACGCCGATGGAGTTCTGAAGAGTATTCCCATGCTTTGCGGAACAAGATAATATACGAGACAAGACAAAGAATACCTCAATGTGGGTAATTCAACCTTTTTACACAGAGGTTTAACCTTTTTTTAGTCGAAAACCATGTTTCCTCTGTTTACGTTCTTTGGCTTATGGTTTAAAGTGTATTTAAGCAATCGGAATTAATGTCTCACGTTCTTGTCTGCTGCTCCTTTACTATTCAGTTAGACAAGGACCGGGTCCCGCTTGGGGGGAAATTTCAAAGAAAAAAACAGGGTAAAACAGCCCCCCCAGAAAAGTAGCAAGCGAAGCTAAGAGAGTCATTTTTTTCCCGTAAACAACACACTACGGGAATTAAATAAATATATTCTTTCATAAAAAAGTTAAAACGGGGTACGAATTTTCATTTGCCTTTTTATATCATCACAAGTCTACAGAAAAATGATATACGGGGTGGTTAGCATTGTACAATTTTTTTTTCGCATGCACCATCATCAAAAATAGAGTGTATGATTTTGTAAATGAACTGTTAAGCAGAATACTGACGGATGGCGTAAACAAAAAAAAATGGGGAATACAGCAAGTTAAGCATTCAGGGAAAGTGAATTTGTTTGCTGGACAAACTACTGGAAAGATTTTTATAAAGAGCGTAAACACTGTAAATAAAATAAATCAATAAATTTTACGGGGTTTTCTAGTTTTGTACAAACTAACTGCCGTTCACAATAATGACTTCTCAGGGGCTCCCAACGTCAATTTTCGGAAAATATCTGTTCTTTTCCCGTAAACAACACACTATGGGAAGGAAATAAATATATTCTTTCAGGAAATTAACTTTATTTTTATTTTGCAGCTCATGCTTAAAAAGAGATCCTGAGTTGGAACCGCCCTTCAGTCCATCCAGTCTAGAAGGTAGGAGGGTGGTGAAAAACAGAGCTCTGGTGCCCCATACATGTTAATGAGGGATAGGTAATTCAGTTATGAGGGTCTCAATGGGGTAGACTTGCTACAAGTCGACCTCACGAGTTTATTAGCGAGCGGAGCGAGCTCTTCAGGCCGAGAAGCGGTCAAGCTGCGGCCAAGCAAGCGATGAAGTCGTGAGAGGTCGTCCTACGCCATATTAGATCGGATGAAGGACTTTTTAAAAGTCTATCAATGGATTGGTAGCTTTGACGTCTGACGGTTAAATTTAGAGCTTTTGACGGTTGACAGTTATTAAGTGGAAATTTAGTCCAAGAGTTAAGCTAATATTATCTTTTTGTAAGTTAATTATAAATGTTGTGTTTTGGAGGTTGTCTTTGCCTTACAATTACAGAATTTAGAAATATTTGGGATATAAGCATGTTCTAAGGTCTTCTTACGTCTAGAGAGAGTATTCTTGAGAACATGCATGGGAACTGGTGTTTCCAGTTCGTTGATTCTTTCGCAGCCAGAAGTCCGTTTGAAGATCAGCCTAAAGAAATAGACAGATTTGAAATACCCCAGTTCAAACTTTTAGTCTGCATTTTTGACAGTTGACCGTTTGACAGCTTACTGTTAACCCCATTGAGACCCTCCGTGAAATTGCTAGTCAGAATAATTTGACGATTTATTCACTTTGGAAGCGGAAGCAATAGACAACAACAACTTTATTGACTTTATCATCAGCATGAAGATTTCGGTGTCAAAAAAGACAGAATAACAACGAGTAAAATATAAATAAGATAAAAGTAAAGTAACTGAAAGGAATAACAACAACAGTACATTAATCATATAGAGAATTACGTGGCTGTGTCTGGCTTCTACGTTATAGTCGTAATTTTAAGAATGCTAGATTAGAGTTCGGACTTATAACAATTTAGATTATTTTCAATATAAGAGGCACTAAGATTTATGATGTAAACACTGATAGAAGCAACACAATTTTAATGATAGTTGTATTATGGTGGTGGTGCATCATACTTTGTTAACGGTCATGAAAAGTTAAAACGGGGTACGAATTTTCATTTGCCTTTTTATATCATGACAAGTCCGCGAAAAAATGATATACGGGGTGGATGCAAGGTTAGCATTGTACAATGTTTTTCGCATGTACCATCATCAAAAATAAAGTGTAAAATTTTGTAAATGAACTGTTAAGCAGAATGCTGACGGATGGCGTAAATAAAAAATGAACTTGGGGAATACAACAAGTTGAGCATTCAGAGAAAGTGAATTTGTTTGCTAGACAAACTACTGGAAAGATTTTTATAAAGAGCATAAACACTGTAAATAAAATTAATCAATAAATTTTACGGGGTTTTCTATAGTTTTGTACAAACTAGCTGCCGTTCACAATAGCATACTATTCGCGACAGTCCCTTTTCCGCTTGCTGAATAAGAGACGGAGAAATGGAACCGCGCCAAGAAGTTGAACGTTAGATACGTCCTAAAGAACCCAGACACTGCCAAAACTCAAAGAAGAGAAACCCAGTTCTCCAACACTGAAGGTGAAGGGGTGGAACAAAAGTACTGATAAACTCAGAGTATAGTGAAACAACTACACTGCTGATACTTACTGAGAGCTGGGCAAGGTGGTCTTTCAGGGAATACCTAAAAAAACGGCGTGGTAAAACATGAATAGGCTGCCAGCCCTTGAGTGGCAGCAAGCAAATAAACTGGAGATAAAGGTCCAAGGAAAAAAGGAAAACCTAAGGCGTAGAGAAGACGCGAGAAAAACCCGCCCAAGGGATGGCAGCCTGAGCGTCAGTAATCTGACTAGGGCATTACACACCCTTTCAGGTTACCATGGAAGCGCAGGAAGAAAAACATGAAATGACGGCGCAGAAAATGCGAGTAACGAATAGCACACATAAACTAAAGAATAGAAAAACAACTAGGAAAACAAGAGAGCAAATACACTGAGACAAGGGAGTAAACCCGCAAAACTGGAGGCCGCGTGGCGAAACGTGCGTACCAAATTACACAAAAATGCAAAGGAAAACATAATCATTCAAAATCTACAGGGGCCGAGGAAATAACACCACTGTAAACAGTGTCAAATAAAACACGCCGAACAGATTGACCAAATAAAGCACAAATGCAACAAAAGTGATGAACCAACTTTACGGGAATCGAAGGAAGATAAATTTAGCGAGGGAAAGAACGCAGAACACAAAATTAAAACTGAATAATACAAAGCAAAAAATAAAGCTTGCAAATTCGAGAGGAGCCGGGGAAAAATCACTGCAGAAACCGGAGCTTGTTAGGCAAAGCACGTATAAGAAAAGCAAACTGAATAAAACAAAGAAACACAAAAGGGTGTAAACTTGAGAGGAGCCGAACGGAAAAGCACTGCACAAGCCAGATGTTGGTGAGGCAAAGAGCACGAAACAAAAATATATTACTGACAAAAAAAGCGTGCAACAAACTACGGGAATCGAAGGGAGAACATTGCACAAACACAATGTTTGTGAGGCAAAACAAGCAAAGCAAAAAAATACTGAATAAAGCAAAATAAACACAACCATGCAACAAACTATACGGGAGCCGAGGGAATAGCACTGCACAAACCCGATGTTTGTGAGGCAAAGCAAGCAAAACAAAAATTACTGAATAAAGCAAAATAAGAGACAGGCCTGCAGCAAACTGTACGGGAGCCGAGGGAATGAACACTGTTTGGCAGATCTTTCCAGCGTAAGATATAAAACTAGTACTTGAAATGAGATTAAAGAACTCATCAAGTCAAATTACCTGATCGTACCGTCATTACTGAATAATAAGTCCGAAATTATGACATGGAATGATCGGTGGGAGACGAAGCTAATTTTAGCAGGACAAGGAACTGCAGGCTGGAACAGAACTGAAATGAACAACCTCAATCAAGTTCAGTCTTCTTGACGTTATTAAACATTTCACCCGAATTTGAACAGGAAGTTGTTTTCTATTTTCTTTCTCATTCTTGCATGTATTCTGCAGTTCGCCCAGTATTTTTTCGTAACTTTTAATTTCTAGCAAACTGGAACTGTTAAGAACTACCGACCCTCCCTCCTCCCCCTCTTTGAGTGAACTTTTTCATTCGGTCTGATTCACAATAATTTTCGAACGGTGACAAAGTGAAATTTGAAATGACATTTTATTTTAGCATTTTTAAAAGCTCCTTCTTTTTTTCCAGATAGCCAGGAATGTTTTGAACGTAAAGGCTCAAGTGTCACGACTCTGCTTGTGGACTGACCTCACCACCAGTATTACATCACGGACATAAAATCTGATCCGAGAGGGTCATACAGTAACTGATGGGTCTCTGAAAAGCGAAATGCAGTCACTTTGGGGCGAGTAGGCTATATAGATGATGAACTCATTGTTTATAACTCCATAACCGCATCCCAAAAGTCGAGCCTGCCCGGGGCGAGCGAACACAATTTTGCGGCCACTGGTCACACCCTTATGTTTGGCGGGAAATTGGCTGATTAGTCAAATCTCCTTAACTCCACGACCATGCACCTTTCCAAATATTGCCCTTCTAATCATCATATAGTTAGGGCCTCCCGTAAGCATCTGCAACTATTTTGATTTTTAGAAGACTGTTTAACAATTTTCATTACTTTAATGTCTCGTAAACAACACGAGGTATACATGCTCTGATCTCTCCCCCCCCCCTTCCCCCATCCATAACAAAAAATTGTCAGACCAACACTGAATTGCATGAAGGTATGTACAAAAATATGACCATCTCGAGGCAAGGTTCATCACTGTAACTTACCACATAAAAGCCTTTTCGATGTTTGCCATACTGATTCTCTTAAAGCCTATCTATCGCTTAAAAAACCCTCCCTTGTAATGTAAGAAGATGATCTTTTGATTCTGATCTTGCGAAGAGCTTGAAATATGCGCTAAAATGAAAATTATAAATTTTGTTACACACGGTACTAGCTCAAGTTCGCTCTTCGATTTGCCAGACCAATAGGGAGCCGCTCGTGTACTGTACAGTTACAATTTTCTCTGTAGTATTTCGCTGAATACAGCTACAAATTACATATTTGCTTAGGCAAAGATAACGCAAACGTTGTCAATTTTTATCAAAAGGCTAGAAAAACAAACCGTGCACTGCAGATTTATGCAAATTATATGGTATTCGATAATTACACGTGTAAACAGGAGCCTACCTTTGCTAATGTACACTGTTTGGCAGATCTTTCCAGCGTAAGATATAAAACTAGTACTTGAAATGAGATTAAAGAACTCATCAAGTCAAATTACCTGATCGTACCGTCATTACTGAATAATAAGTCCGAAATTATGACATGGAATGATCGGTGGGAGTCGAAGCTAATTTTAGCAGGACAAGGAACTGCAGGCTGGAACAGAACTGAAATGAACAACCTCAATCAAGTTCAGTCTTCTTGACGTTATTAAACATTTCACCCGAATTTGAACAGGAAGTTGTTTTCTATTTTCTTTCTCATTCTTGCATGTATTCTGCAGTTCGCCCAATATTTTTTCGTAACTTTTAATTTTCTAGCAAACTGGAACTGTTAAGAACTACCAACCCTCACCCCTCCCCCTCTTTGAGTGAGCTTTTTCATTCGGTCTGATTCACAATAATTTTCGAACGGTGACAAAGTGAAATTTGAAATGACATTTTATTTTAGCATTTTTAAAAGCTCCTTCTTTTTTTCCCTATAGCCAGGAATGTTTTGAACGTAAAGGCTCAAGTGTCACGACTCTGCTTGTGGACTGACCTCACCACCAGTATTACATCATGGACATAAAATCTGATCCGAGAGGGTCATACAGTAACTCATGGGTCTCTGAAAAGCGAAATGTAGTCACTTTGGGGCGAATAGGCTATATAGATGATGAACTCATTGTTTATAACTCCATAACCGCATCCCAAAAGTCGAGCCTGCCCGGGGCGAGCGAACACAATTTTGGGGCCACTGGCCACACCCTTATGTTTGGCGGGAAATTGGCTGATTAGTCAAATCTCCTTAACTCCACGACCATGCACCTTTCCAAATATTGCCCTTCTAATCATCATATAGTTAGGGCCTAGAAGACTGTTTAACAATTTTCATCACTTTAATGTCTCGTAAACAACACGAGGTATACATGTTCTGATCTCTCCCCCAGCCCCCTCCCCCGCTTCCCCCATCCATAACAAAAAATTTTCAGACCAACACTGAATTGCATGAAGGTATGTACAAAAATATGACCGTCCCGAGGCAAGGTTCATCACTGTAACTTACCACATAAAAGCCTTTTCGATGTTTACCATCTACTGATTCTGTTCTGCATGAATATTAATGTCCCATAAACAACGCCACGTTTAGAAAGAGCCCGCCTTTTTCAATCGAAGAAGACCCAAGTAGCAATTTCGCTAACGGACATAAGCCGTAAGGAAAGGACCGCGTCAAATAGTTTATAAAATCTCAGACGCCTCATGACACCTTTAAGTCACTCTTTCTTCGGTAAACTAATTTTTAATTTTTTAAGCATAAATGACATGCGCGATTATGAGCATTGTAGGGTGAAAAGAAAATTTAAGCAGTGCACATGAAAGCCCCTAAGACGGGGACTAGGGGCAATTAGGAACATCGTGCTTACCGCTGGAAATATATTGGCTAGTTCTTTGAATGAATAGACTCAATTAAAACCGTTTTTGTTCAGTAAGGAGCTGTTAGATGGGGGAAAAGCTACATAAAGTAGATCGCATCAGAATACGGCACAGGACTAGGCTCTCAAAATCGATAACCTTGCAA